AGTCTAATATTTATACTTTAAGGTTTTATTTTTAAATTTTTTACTGGCTCAATTTTCCTACATTGTTTTCCATTTTCTAGCAAATTGGAAACTCGGGTTGTTCCTGGTGACATTTGCATGCAAAGTGGGCGTTTAATTTGAACTCTTCTCTTCCTCCTAAATACATATTCTCTTTGTTGCGTATCTTGTCCCTATATATCTAATGGCGGTGAAATCAATTCTGATTTAATTTTTGTGTAAAAATGAACTATTTACATATTGATGGTCCACACACCTAAATTTTACAATTTAGCTAGTTGTTATCAAATTCAACATCCCTCTACAAAGATGTTATGACTTAACAGAAACAAAATTTTATGTTCAGATCTATTTACTCTTGTAATCTTTTTTCTTTCAAGATCCATCTCATTTACCAATGTTTTTTCTCTCAGGGAGGTCTGGAGTCTCTAGCTACTCCAGCCAGTTGGCGAACATGGTCAGTGAGGAAATTTGGAGTCCAAGCATTGAATGTAGCAACTCGATAGCAAGTGAATCACGGCCAACTTCCATACCGCACACTCCCATCGCTCAGGTATCAGCCATTTTTTTCATGGGACCATCCGTGTAAAGCTGATAGGTTTATATTTATATTTACAACAGTCGAACCATTATTTCACCTGTTTGCCTTTCATAACAACATTGGCTTTAGAGAAGTGATAATCATGCAACCAAATTCTGTCATCTCAATTTTTGAAACCCTATAACTTTAGTAGCAGCAGAAAGTCCAAATAAGATTAGTATTCCATGAAACAAAAGCAATCCTGAATAATTCTTAAGTTAAGGATTTAAAGGTTAGGAGATCCGTGGCCGGGTATCTTTTATTGCCCTCAATAGAACTTGGGACACAAAATGGATTGTCTCAAAAAAAGTGCACCTGGTAAAATATTGACTTGATGAATCTTAGAATGTATTAGCTCCATTAAAAAAACTGGCCTCTATCTCTAGGTTACCTCAAGTTTTTTTCAATGCATATTTCTCTGATACTTTTTTAAAACAAATTATGTTTTTTCATATTTCCCTTGAACCAATCAAAATAATTAGACCTTTGGAAGTAAATAATTTTAATTATCTTTTTGCTCTGAGAGAATTATAACATATTTTAAATTAAGGGTACCTAAAATTACTAAAATATTCCACCCCAAATTTTAGTTGGATGAAACCGATTTTATATTATGCTTTTGCATTAAATTAGATCATAATTCCTAAAAGCTTGATTTGTGGTGAACTGCAGTTTGCCTTGAACTATTTTCACAGATCCAGATCTACATGAAATAAATATTTACCACTTGTTAATACTAATAAATGTTGAACATTAAGCACGCAAAAATTAAGGCAATAGTATGGCAATGAGAGCTTTGCTTTTCAACTTATGATTTCATTCGAAGGACCCACTTTACTACTTATTATGGGTTTAAACAAAGAGGGGTGTAACAAATGCAGGATATTTAAACTGCTGGGGCTGTTTGTGATGTCAGTGCCTGTAACAAACTGCATGCGCATGATATGATGATAGAATTTCATATTTATAAGCCTTTGTGCGGTTTTTGATGGTTTTTGTGAAGTAATTTTAGAGCTGGTGTGAAAATTAAAAGTGAAATACTCACAATCAGTTCTTTTTAAACTAACAAATAGGCTGGAAAATTATCCACCCTAATGGAATTTTTGTGGAACCAAAAAGTAACTTTCCTCGCGATGCTGGTGTGTACGTTCCTTTGTTTCATACACTCACTGCTATTGTGTTTTGCTATCGTGCTATGTTTTGTCTAATAGTGTCCATGGTTGATGCCAGAGTTTTTTCAGCTTTTGCCAAACAGTGCTTTTCTTAGTTTGTCATGGGTCGATCTTTTGATTCAGAAAAAAGTCTTTGTTCAACTTTTTTCAACAGATTCTTTTGCGACGTGTAGAAGAGCCTTTATCTGATGTTCAGCTCTAGATCATCAGCATTTTACTGTCCAAAAGTGTGCAATTTTTCTATTAAAAAATTTGAGGTTAAACTCATTCTAAATGTTTAATTTTTTGAGGAATTTTAATCGGAAGACTTCTAAGGCTTTGTCCATACAAGCGCAGTTTGGGTGAATTAGTTCCTTGAACTAAGGGTTCCGAGAATAAGTCATAGGTAAGTTCTTGGAACAAGTTTGATGGAAGTTCCACGAACCGCGCTCATGTGAACAAGGCCTTCGTTTCTGACTTTTCTTTGAAGTATGAGGATATAGGAAAGATTCTTTAAAAAAATCCATACTTGAAAATTCCCAGAGTGTTGACTTTTCATTAAACTAACACTAACACATAACCATATTTGACAGGGATTTGTGAGTAACGTAACATTTCCTCTTCAAGAAGGGAGCTCTCCTCCTGAAGCAGCTGTGGAAGCCACTCCTGAAACCACCCCCATTAAGGTATAACCATGAAATTGTTTGTTGCTTCTCCGATTTTCTTTAAACTTTTTTCCTAGTTGTACCTTCACTTTTTTCACGTGTATCTTCCTTACAGATTTCCATTCTTTCCCTTATATTCTTTATGATTTCTTATCCTTATATAATTTAAGATTGTAATTAAAGGAACAATGTTCTTGGAAACGTGATTTAGTATTCAGTTTTTGATGTTCTCGATTCATTATTGGGAATATCAATTGCTAATCTCTATGTATAACATTATATTTTGCATGTTTAACATATCTCACAAATTGCTGTGATTTAATTATTTCTCTTTCTTCATTATTTGACCTATTAATTTTTCGGTCCTGTTTTTATGTAACTTCTATGATTAGATCGAGCTCACCTGTTGAAGAGCAGGAAGTCATTGTATAGGTAGCTGAAGCACAATTTGATGGCTTACAATCATTATAGCTAGGATGTATTTGTACTAAAAGGAACTATTTGCACAGGGTTTACATGCAACATAGTTCCTTTTTACATAAATACGTTCATTTGTAATGGGTAAACTTCATTGTTGTTCTAAAGTAATTAAATCCATCCAAATGCCGAGTTTCTACTTGCAACATCAACAGAGATATTGCCTTTTGAAATAGAAGGCTTATGGCTGAAGTCCAAATATCGCACAATAATACCTCTATCATTTCATGAATGATGGTAAAAGCTTAAGCCAGATACCAGATGATTAAAAGTTCATATCGATATTAATAAACACATATAACCTAAGAAAACAAAAAAAATTGTGAAAAAACAAGAAAAAAAATGCTTGAATGTGCGCCATTGTTGCGCTTGATAACTGGAGCACTGGAAAAGTGATTTTTGGATAATCGAGGTATTACTGTGCCCAATAAAACACTTAACAGGACCAGAGACTAAGCACTTCAAAATATGTTTATCATTTAAATTCCACGCAAAATACGGAGGACAAATTAAAATTTCGAAATCAACGTTTTGAAGGAAACGTCTCGCGGTTTTTGTTCTTTCATTTATCAGCTGCCTCTCCAGTATTCTCGTTGGTGTCTTGAAAAGACTTAATTCCTACCCTGACTATTGGTTCATTACAATGTTTCAAAATTTCCACCCTCTTTCGATTTTTTTAAAAGAAGAAGAAATTATTTTACAGCATTAACAAGGAACAATGAAGAAAATTGGAATCAAAAGCCGCAATTTCATCTGTTCTGCCCCTGAAAAATGTAGAATGTACGGCAATTTAGAATCAGATTTAGAGCCAAACCATTATGGTGGACGGTGTAATTCAGCACACACTTTTAAAGAAGAATACATCGATAGTGAAACAGCAGAAATGCGTATCCTGGTTTGCAGGGTTACAGACTTTCTGTCATACTTGATTTTCTACATGAAACACCACTGAACGTCAGTGCCACTTTTTGAAAATTTCATAGATTTTTTCTCTCCTCATAAAAAATATTCTGTGAAAACTTCAAGCCATGATGTTGGTTCGATCTCCTTTTAAAAGAATGAAATATGAAGGACAATAGCGAAGTTTTACTGTCAATATGTATGTAACTAATTTTTGCTAATTTGATAGATTGTATCATCAAAAAATGATTGCATGACGTCAGTGAATGAATCTCTGCGCATCTCGTACTCCCTTCTGAAGATTATTTTTTGCCATATGTTCTCAACTTTCCAAATTCCATGTCAGATAAGAAGGCAGACTGTAAACACTACTCCTTCTTAAGATATTCCTCGCCCCTTTTTCTGATCTGATTTTTGGTCGCCGGAACTTTGTTGATCGTTTTCTGATTTTTATTACAACAGGTCTTTTTCTGCTTCATGCCATTGCTTAGTTGCTTTTATCTTTTTAAAAAAAAGCCTTTCTCTTTATTGTGAGCGTTAATAACGGACTCGGTCATAATGCTCACTTATTGTCTCCATGGATCAGTGGCATCCATTTTTAAAAATTTATTTTCTGCAAGTACTGAATGAACTAAGCTTTTGGGATTTCTTTGAACTTAAAATGGCAAAATGTCAAAAATGGGACCTGTTTGAAACGATATTTTTGGCAGGTTCTGATTACATAGCCAGGTGCAGAAAACGGAGTTCGGTAATCGGCTAAACCTAGCTTCAAGCATAGCCTTACTACATCAATTCGACCATCGGCTTTTGATTTGTCGGATTTTCATTAATATTCCCTCCTCTTAGAAATGCTTTTTTTAACTCCTTCCCAAATTTCTAGGTTTTCCACGAAATTTTACTTCAGGAAACCTTTATGCTAATCGTGCCAGAATTCTTTGCCACTACCCTAAGAGGCTCACTGTATCCTCAGAAGGTGCCAATCGTACCCATCACAGAATTGTATTCTAACAGTTGGCATTTTTACATCACCTGAAGAAGCAATACCAGTCCAAACATATTTTTCAATTTTTTCAGGCTAATAAAACAAAAGTATGGTTATTTGCAGTTATGATGGATAACATCCCTTTTCTCATAGTTTCTTTCAGTGTTGTAATGAATAGAAAGTCAGCCCTCCCTGCAAAAAATTTTTTTGGGCTCCCCTTTAACCTACGTTCCCCTCCCTGGCCTTTTTAAAGCAATGCGTTCTTATTAAAAAATTGTCTGGAAAGGCGGTGGATCTTTTCACTAGTATTTTCACTAGTTGCTCTGTGGGTGCATTGCTTGTCTACCAATGTGGAATGAACTAAGGGGAATTTGTAATCTGGTGCATGACATCATCTGCATTTGTTTCGAAATTGCACTCTCCGTCAAGCTCCTAAATAGAAACTTTGATTTGCACCAATTTTATTTTTCATTTTTTTCCTTTTTCCAAAGTATCTAGGCTACTATACCTTGGCTCTTAAATTAACTTAAGGAATATTTTACTGCACCAAATCCTTCAATTTTTACAATCTAACTTTTTTTCTCTCCATGTTTGAATGAAGGATTTGCGACATGTACCCAGAGTAACTCCAATAAATTCAAGCGTTGTACGAGCTCTCAATACATTTTCAACGACTGAACGACCTCGCTTTCGACAAGCAGGCTCCGGGACTACTCCTTGTCATTCGGAGCCTTCTTCACCAATGAAAAAAGAACCATCACCTTTCATCTTCCCTGGAGACTCGTCCTCAGCCTTTCACCAACCTATCTTTTTCAAAAAGATGGATCGAATGATCAGTGAGCGAACGCAGGTAAGTAATTGCCTTTCTATAAATTCACCTATTATTGCGGATATTACATTATTATGAATTTTCATATTTTTCTCCCAAAATAAGATCCATTTTCCTCAATTCATTGCCATACCATTCTGTAATTGAAATGTGATCAATTCACGCGCCCCACTCAAGAACTGTTATTGATCATATTTTACTTCTTCAGTGATGCCATTAGAAAAGACAAGTGAGATTTGTGAAAAATGCACACTGCAAAGTCCTCAATAGAGAAAAGATTAAAAAAATTGATTGCTGCAGGAACGGTGCACACGAAGAGGAGGCTGAGACAGTGTCTTTCTCTTCAATACCTCAATCATTGGAGGATTTTGAAATAACCAACCCCCTCCCCCCATACCCTCACTCATTATACCCTTGTTTTTATGTTTAAAAACGTAGGTACATTGTGAGCCTCAGCCGAATTTTGTTGGTTTTCTAACTCTAATCAGAATGCTTCTTCGCATGCGGCATCTGAATTTTCATGCTCCAGCGTACTTTTCATGAGATATTAATTAAAAATATTCAGGTCGTCCTGTGTCTTTTTTTCTATTTTTTAATGCAATGTTTGAAAACCTCGGCCCTGTAACAAGAAGAAAAAAAAACCTAGAATCGAGTACTCGGTACTTAGAATCGGCAACTGATTCAATCATTTGGCTCGCTCAGATTATTATTTTTTTTGGGGGGGGGGGCCGGAGATGTGTACAGGAGAAGAGAAGATAAATATTGACCACGACTTGCACTACTTTCTTAGTACTCGCATTTTGTTAAGGCCCAGGTGATTGCATTTAAGTAGACCAACATTTTTAAACAAGTGTATGTTTTTTGAAGAAATAAGCAATTAGATTGATTAATTTTTGAAATAATGTTACAAAGTGTTACATATATTTCTGATAAATTTTAAAATAATGTGTTTAGCCTTTTTGGGAATGGGGTTCGATGAATCAAATATTGTATTTGAGAAAATACTAGTTTTCTTTTTGCATTGTCTAGTATCGCACATTTAGCCAAGGATGTAACCTTCTGCTTCAGAAGCTCTTCACTTAATGTTATTATTGTTTAAACTCATTTTGTTTTGTTTTTTTATTTGCAGGCTATTGCTGAAACCGATGACTTACAAAAACAGGGTTTTAACTTAGGATCCAACAATCTAGTGCCTCCTCAAAGTCCTTTGCGAGTAATTTCTTCGACCTGGGAGCCTCCAGATTCGCCACTAACGGTGAAAACGCAAGAAGATCACGAAGTCGAGTCCACTTTTTTGGCTCAAGCTCATTCCTCCAGTGTATGTCCATCACCAAAGTTTATACACGTTTTTAAATAATCTATTTAAGGGGAAAGTTAAAAACAAGCTCTTCAGAATGTAGACAAATCTTAGATTCAGCAATACTTTTCTTCCAAAAAATTTTTTACATTGATTGTCTGAAAAGAATAATACATTCAGATCAAAACTCCTTTTAATCAATAGTGGATATGTTGCAGATACAACCAAAGTAGACTTCAGGTAGACTCATTTGAAAATCATGGCGAGCATATAAAGAAAGTCTAGAATTCAAAATTCACGCTCTAATGTGCACTTTGTGTACTTTTTATCACGTTTTTTCACTTTTCCAACGATTGCAAGCAGTGTTTTATAGCTGCTGGTAACCAGTTTTCCCCTAAAAAAGACTTGATAAAACCTAAACTTAACAAAAAAACGATCTTGCAAACTTTTTCTTGTGACGATTACCACCATTTTTTAGTGTTCGTTTTCCTCCGTATTCCTTCTTTTTGCAAAAACAAAAGCTTCAAATCAATTTTCTTGCATCTCCTTGGGCATACCTGATTGCTGGCCAGTAAGAAAAACTGCCTGCAGACACAGGAAATTTGAATGAGTGCCTTATAAACTACACAGATTCCACACAAAGGAGTAGTTTTCAGACTTATTTGTTGTGCCAATCGTCACTTTTGTGCGATATTACCTTTAGAGTATCTGTTTACTTTGCTGTATCTCTTACTTACATCGATTTCTTTGATTAATATCTCTATCAAGTAATTCATTTGTATTGCAGATGAAGGAATTACGTGACATAATTGATAAAGTTGAATTATCAGAAATTTGGAGTGGAACCATGTAGTCATGAAGTGTACTTAATGAAGAAATGAGCCTTAGAATTTTTTTCTTTTTTTGCCAGAATTTTTTAGTTTAAAGTTTCTTTATGTCATGAGTATTCACATAATTTTTAAGCTTCAAACTTTTGACTAAAAATTATCGAAATTTCTCGTCATTACCTCATTCTCAGGTTCTCTTTGTTCTTTGAGAACCTCTTTAATTCAAGATTTTAGATTGTTAACAGGAACCACTGTATCGTAAAAATTTCCTGCAAATGTCTCTTTACATTCCAGATCAATCGAAAAGAATGCGATAGTGTATTGATAGATTATGTGCACCACCCAGGACATACAGAACCAATAGATGATCTTGAGGACTGCGCAAGCTCACCATGTTCCTCAGGAGGATTGCATATGCCTAGTAGCCGATCTCTAATGGATTTTCAAAGGCAACTTCAAAGAATACGGTATTACAGTCAGAGCAATGCCTATCCTCCTCAATTAAGCTCTCTCGGTAAGTTCTAATTGTTTTGAAATATTGATACTTATTTTGCAAACTCTGTTCACTTTTCAGACCTAAAAAAAAGGCAAAAACTTCACTTTTACAAATACAGGGTTGCCGGCAGTCTAGAAAACTGGGATGATCTGAGAAAGGCAGAGGATTCGTTGGAAAAGTCAGGGAGTTTCTGACACTTCTAAGAATCATTGAAACATATCGCTGATGGACCAACTTTTTACCCTTTACAGTCTTTAGAAGGCTTGTCATCTTTTAACCAGCCTCCGAATGCCTTTTTCTATGAACAAGGAAATTTTGTCTAAGTTTAGCGAAAGTCAGCGTTTTTTTTTCCTGAACAAAAAGAGGTAGAAATTTTGTTTGAGGGTCTGAGAAAGTCAGGTAATTAGAAAATTTACGAGTTAGGGATAAGCAAACAAATTCAGGGAATTTGAAGGTGAAGACATTATGTCCCTGAAATAGTTCAGCTCTTGTGTGTTTTTCGTTTTTACTGGTGGAAAAAAATCCCTCAATGAAACCTAAATTAACTCGTCAAAAGAGTATCAAAGCAAATAAGAGAGACCTAAAATGGCAAGCCAAAAAATCAAATTTGTTTGAAAAACTCCCTGGATTCAACCAAGAGGTTTACAGCTTACTATTCTTGAAGAAAGAAAAAAGGGTCAAAAACCCAACATTCAGCATGAAATGTTTTGTATACAGCTCTTGTTATTCCTACTCTTTCTGTTTCAGGTGTCAGTTCCAGTACCAGTCCTCAGGATGGGGTTGCATTTTCTCCCTCAAACAGGATGAGGAAAGTCAAGTCCTGGCCAGTTTTGGAGAAACCTAGTTTTGGCGATGCTGACGTATCTTCAAAGTCTGGAAAATATAAAGAAAAATCGGACTGGAAAAAGAAAGAGGTGTGTTCATTTTTGCGTCTCTACGCAGTTACTATTTGAATTATTTATCTCAGTTTTGAAGTCTAGAACTTACCTACCTGGCAAAATATCACAACTGGCAATAGACCAGATGACAGGGTAAGTATTCAAGCAACATGATTTCCTGAGGCTTGTTCTCTTCTCAAATTTTGCCGAGAATCTATTAATAATGTTGTTCCTGTGGTGTTTGATCATGATTATTGATCATGTGGGGTCTACCAACGTGGAAAAATCGGGAATCGCTAGGAAATTTTTGTGGCATGGAACTGGCAGAAATCTTCGTCGATCATGGAATTTTTATATTGAATCTTCAAGTTTTCACTCTTTTGTTCAGAAAAATTAGAATGTTTTCAGAAATATCATGATTTTTTGTTCTTCTCTGAAAGTTGCTTGATCAAGAAATTTTTTGCATTTTGGTCATCGAAATCATGATATTATTAGGAATCTTCTTTTGTTTTTCCAAAAATGCGGGACACAATAAAGTTATTCGACCAAAACCCCAAATCTGTCTTGAATTGGAAGTGTAGAAGGCCAAGCATTTAGTTTGAACACACATTTCGAAAAAGTAGATTAAAGATACATAATTCCTTAAATCTAAGACTCTTAGCTCGTCAATTTTTCATTCTAGATAACTACTAACACTTAATTTGAAATTTACTAAACATAAAAGTAACAAAGATTCTGAAACAATAAATAGAAAATAAATTATAGAAATGAGACAAAATTCTCCCAGCAGAAGAAATCGTATTCCAAAGTAAATAACAATCACCATAGTCGGAATATCGACCAGGCATCCCTCAAAGCCTGTGTCACACTATCAAAGCTAGGCATCAAAATATCAAGGTCAGGTGTTGTGTTTGGCTTATTTGATGACTTGAACCAATCACAGCACTTGACCTTGACACTTCAATGGAGTATTTTGATAGTGTGACACAGGCTAAAGTAAATGTACAGGAAAAATTTTTAAATTTACCCCAACGCCACTAACATGCCACTACATGGCAGTGGAATAACGAGACCCTCCTCAAACATTTTACACCCACTCATAGTTTTATCTGGTGTGGGAGGGCTAGATTTCCAAAGAGACTGCACCTTCTCTTCCTTCCCACATCTATTGATTCTCTTTCAGAAACTTAGTGCGGTTTCAGATTTGATGTGTACAAGAGAACACATGGATTCATAAAAATGTCACATCTAAACTTTGAATTTATTTTTTAGTAACCTTCATTGTTTTTTTCAGTGTGGAACAGTGAAAAAGTCCATGCGAGAAATGGAAACTCAGACCGATCAGATGCTGGACCAGCAGATGCCTTATGAACACTTATTTGTCAATGCCTTTCCCATGGCTTTTGATCCGCCGCCTCCATCGCCAATCAGAGCTCAAGATAATATTTTGGCACTGGAGCCCAGTTTGGGTAAGCATCTTTTATCATCCCATCTCTGTGTTCTCCTCTCAAAATTTCCATCCTTTTTTCTAGGGCTGTGCTAGCCTGGTTTCTTGAGTTCTAGCCAAGTTCAAGTATATTTTCATTGTTTCGAATTGAGTTCGAGTAATTTTGAGTTTTAACACGTAATTTTACAATAAAAAATGATGGTGACACTAAAAATAATAATAAAATGATTAAAATATTTAGGAGGTAGACTCTTTTAGGGTTTCTAGCCCAAAATACTCGAAAAAACTCGTTATTGGCATTCGAGCCAAGTTTGTCGCTTGAACCTAACCTAACTTTCGAGCTGAGTCGAGTACTTGATACTCGTCTCGGCTCGACTCAAAATTCAAGTACTTGCACAGCCCTACTTTTTTCAATTGGAAGAAAATAAGATTTCATTGTAAAAAAATACCTAGTCCAAATCCTACAGAAACATGGTGTCCAAGACCAGAATAAACCGGGGAAACCAGGATTCACCAGGGACTGAAAAATTTCAGGGAATCTGTTCCAAACACCGGAAATCTTTTCTTCTACTGCTTAGAAACTGTTTTATGTTTCATGATATTGCACCTGAGCTGTTATTTTCGACCTCTTAAATCTTCAAATTGTCAGAATATCAGAGAAGCTTTCATTAAACGAATACATATATAAACATCAAAAACGCTTTTGGAATTAAAAATTATAATGCGCGCCAAAGAATCGGCTAAAATATGAAAAAATTTGATATTCATATCTGGAACTCGGGAGAATTATAATGAGCCAATGAGTTGCTAACGAGCTTTTTACAATCCGAATTTTGACATGCTCTGTAGCTCTTAAAAAAAAGATAGTGGATAGTCATTTTTGGACAACAATTGTCTCATATTTTTTTTTCTTTTTTACAGGATTCCGTGCAAGTGATACTGCATTGAACAAAGAGCCCAAGTTCTCCATAAATGTGATACAAAACAATTACATCAAAGCTGTCTTACAGTGTCATGACCCCAAGCACAACAACCTCTCAGGTAATTATTTTTGAGTTTATCTTACCAGCAATGGCCGGCAAAGCCTCCTCCTTCTGTGTTTCTTTGACCGTTCATTGTTTTCTCTCAAGCGAACATTACAACAAGGCGAGGAGAGCTGAAAATGGGCACGGCTGAATCATTGCGGATAGGAGAAGAAACTGACAAAAAAAGGCGGTTTGACTTTCATTCAAAGATAACAGGATTGCCACATTCAATTTTTCACAGTCAGTTGAATTTTGAGAAGTCAGTGAAAACGTGGAAATGTAAGGGAAAATGATGAAAGTGTCATGGAAAAATTGTTAGTTCGCTTTAATTTGCTTTCTAAAATGGGTTTGATGTTTCAAACGCCAAATTTTGCTTGAAATCTATTTCAAATTATTTCTTTTGAACCATCTGGCATATCCTCAATTGCCAGGGAATTTTACTCAAATGTGTCTGGGAAATAGCAGGGAATTTCATTTTCTAAATTTTGTGGCAACCTTGAAGATACTATATATGATAAGGCTTTGTCTGACAAAGCGGTCAAATCTGAAAATGCCTGAACCGTGGAGTTGCTAAAACAGAATCGAGTAATGTGGAGAAGGAGAAGGTAGCATATGTCGAGCCCACGGGCATCTGATAAAACCACACATGAGAACCAAATAGTCAGGTCGAGAGAACTCGTAATTCTCCCATGGTGCAGTGACATCAGTGGCATGGGGTGCTGTGCGATATATCGATTGATTGGTCATTTAAACCCATGGAAAAGTATCGATAAACAGGGTGTTCGCAGCGAACACCTTAATAATCGATTAGTGACCACAGCTTCAAATGGGGAAATATCAATAGATCGCAAAGCATGCCACGCCACTAAGTGACATGTGGAATCGCGCATTTTTAGTTGCAAAAATCTCCACTCTTAGACATGCGACTTACATCATATTTTTACATAGAGCTTTGAATTACTTTATATTAAACAATTGAAGTTTTATCAAAATGTAACAAAATTTACCGTCCCCACTATAGTGTTGCAGGGTTCTTTTGCCAATAATAGGTCATCATGAGTAAAAAAAACATTTTCTGAATTTATTTGCCCCTTGCGTTTTGGGACATAGCTTTTATGAATCATAACTTAACTCATCGGAACTTTAGTTTCGATATTTTCAAGCCCTCTATGTGCCATATATGTATAGTGATATCTATCTCATGATTTCAGCTTTTGGGGCTGTGAGTGTGAAGTCTGTTTTCTTTCTATTTTCATTTTGTGAATAAAATCTGTCTCCTAGGTTTGGACTACAATAATCAGGATCTTAAAACTTGCCGAGAGAACTTATTTTTAACAACACTTCAACTTCAGTTCGAGCGGCATCGGAGAGAAGTTCATGCAGAACGCAACAGGAGGCTCCTCGGCAAGTTGAGAAACAACCGAGCTTTAGAGGAGCACAACTCTGCACTGGTATTGATTATTTATTCATTTGGTTCACTGTCACTACTTACAGTCGCAAACTGTGACACTCTTTATCCCACTTTATTTTTGAAAAACACTTCCTCTCTTCTATTCTTTCAGTGCAAAAATGTCAGCATGAACTGACAATTTCTTACATTTAACTCTCTTCATAGTTCTGGAAATTTTGAGCATTCAGACAATACAAAGAAATTCCTCTCATTGTTTAAAAAACTTGTATAAATTAAAAGTTTAATTGTATACTTTGAATTTATATTACCTAGACATTAGTTTATTAGTTATTGATTCAGGGATTCGATTACTCAGTCTACTTTCTTTCTCTCTCTCATAAACAGAATTAAAGTGGTAGGAAGTGTCAAAAAGCTTCCTTGAAGATCATGAATTGAGGCAAAATTCCCAACGCAGCCTCCTCAAATTGAAACTGCTCATTTTCATCGTATGGTGAGACGACAGTTTCCAAAATGCTATGACTTAGTACAATATCCTGAACTTTGGAGACTAAGTTTCGGAAAAGAAAAATATATTGAAAGTCTCAGCTTTAAATCTACCTTCTCAAATGACGATGTATGTGTATCTCTTATTTAACTCCTTATTTTTTTCTCTTTTTTTTTTTTTTCACATCCTCTCAGCGAGATCATGTTGCTCTGTTAGAAAAAGAAGTGGAGAATATAAAGAAGAAACTAGATACTAACCGAGAAGATCATGAAGTCCAAAAAAGTCGTCTTCAATCATCTGTCTCATATTGGCAAGAACAGGTAAGAATCTAGTATTTAAATTTAAATCTTAAATCTCATTTTTTTGAAGTGTTAATTTTTTATCTCAGCTGCGGTTTTTTCATGAGTTCTAAGTGTAATAGGTTGATTTTCAAGATGTTGCAGAAGGAGGAAATCAGTAAAATTTTTGCTGTGTAAAGGCAGCCAATCAGCCAAGCAGTGATAATATAGAAATTTTCTAAAGGAAATTTGCATCACCTTTGAACTCATTGTAGTGTTGCTAAAATCAGCTGACCTAGCCATGACCATATTACCTTGAGCCTTTTTTTATATTGACTAGTTTTAGCTCTCATGACTAACCGTCTCTTATATGATTCTTTCATTTACAGGTGGATAAATTACAACAATCGAACAATGATTTAACTTCTCGTTGTAATAATTTAGAACAAGATTTAATACAAAAGAGAGAAAAGACTGCAGCAGAAAATAAGGTATGTTCCTTTCATCTACCCTCAACTTTTTTCTTTTGATTGGCAAAGTGTTTTTTAAACCATTATTCATATTTATAAAAGACTCGAAGCTTGAGTGGTGTTTATTAAGTGTCCCGTATATCTTTCTTGACAAGGTGCCCTTCTGCCCCTACCCCCCCCCACCACCAAAATTTCCTACTTCCACCCATGCATTTCAGCACCGAATATATTCACAATATTCTTGTTGCAGTCACGTTTTCATGCCTACAAAAAATGAGGGAATTTTATCGTAAAGACAGAAAGAAGTCAGGGAATTTTAGAACAGGACCTGGCTTGCCACCCTGCATGTGCAATAAAGCAAGTGGTTGCAAATTTTGACCGATGATTTTTAACCAACCTATATCTACCTAGTCCTTTAGTTTTCAGCAAATAGCTCCATTCGAAATTCAGCTCAATTGAAACTCCTCGCAGAATAATCTAATTTTTTTTTCCGGTACATTTTTAGGAATTACTCAGTGTGAAAGCACGATTATTAGATGCAAAAAATGAGCTTCAAACCGCCTTAATCGCTGCGAGTGCCGGCAAGGAACTGAAAAAAGAACTGGAAAGTCTGCAAAAAGAAATGATGATAGCTGGCGAAATAGCGACAAACTACAGAGATTCGGCACAACAACTAGCAAATATTCGGAATGAAGCAAATCACGCCAAGTTTGCTCAGGAGGCATTTCACCATCAAGTAGCCAGTAAGTGCTTCAATTGGTATCAGAAACATATCAAATTATTTTCTGTTATAGAAGTACATTTTCTCTGAACAAATTCAGGCGTATCTATGCATATAACCCTCCTGAAGTAACACTGCAAAATCATTGGCTTATTTGTAAAAGCCACTTTTTGTTCTTCCAGTAAATTTGTTAGTTTAACACACTGAGGAAGAGCTTACATTTAAGCATGTATAAAACCCTTTGTCAAACTGATTTTTCATCCCTTTTTTCAGATTTAAAACAAGTTGTGGACACCCAAGGAAGTACAATCGAGGCCTCAAAATCAAGAATCACCGAGTTAGAAAATATTCTCTCCAAAAAAGATACCATTATTCAGGAACAAAAAGAACTGATAGAGAGGATTAAGGAGCAGTATCATAGTCAATTACAAGTAAGAAGTCATTTTCATATTTTTCCTGTAAGAATGTATGTTAATCTTAGTATTTTTAGATTAAATTAAATTCGGTAAGATGCCATAGTAAAGCTTACACAATGTAGGGAAGTCATCTATCCAAAAAAATAATTTTATACATAGGATGAAATAAAATATTCACACAAGTTTTAACTTTAATTAATAATAACACTGGCCACCCTGTAATTGTAAATTAAAAACTACTACGGACTCGAACTTTAAAATGTTACTACTAAAATCTCAAGAATAGTTAAAGTCAAGCTTTGAATTGAATTTTTTCCCTTCACATTTTACCTCTCATATTTTTATTATCTTGTAGGCTGTTGAGGATAAATACAACGCCCTAAAGGCTATTAACCTGAAGCAACAAGAGCACACGCTGGAGGTTCACAACCGACTGGACATGGCAGAGGAACTAAACAAACAGCGTAACAAGAAACTTTCTCTCGATGAAGATCTTATTCCACGTTTGATTTCACCGAAATCCTCCTTCCGGCAGTTCCATTCTGATGGTCCTCTCCCAAACCTCAGTCAGCTCGTTGAACCAGACGAAGATCCAACCCAGAGGCCTACTCCTCTAGACTCTCAGCCCTCCTCGTCAATGCATCATTTCTCGTAGTCATCGGTAATTCCTACGCACTACACAGATGTCAGTTGAAGCCTCTGTTGAATAAAGTAGGTAAGTGGCAGTTTTGAATAAAAATGAGGTAAATTGTGGTTTTAAACCAAAGGTGTTTAACAGTGAACATTACCAAAGCAAAAAAATATTGGCCTTGAAAACTTGATTCTAGTCCTGCAACACCAGTTCAAACTTTTAAGGAGGTGCGAGACTCGTAATATTTAAATGTTGATCTTTTTCTTCTCAAAATCGTAGAACCGGTACTTACCTCCAAAAACAAGTTGGTTGATTGAATGATCAGACCAAAGATGATGTCATTTTTCTCACTCTAGAGCGAAATGAAGACAAATGAAATAAAAAAGAAAATAATGATGTCACTTTGGGCTGATCATTTAATGAACCAACTTTTGTCCGTTTGACTGGTTCGTCTAACCGCTTTTATCTTCGCGCATACTTCTACTATTTGTTGGACATTTCAGTCGTTCAGTATTCATTTCCTCTAAATTTTTAAGTCATTGAAGATAACTGACGAAGAGATATTGCGGTGTCAGTTGCCCAATAACCTCTGGGAGGATAGGCATATTTGGCGTTTGGGTGTCGTAGAACGTCAGAGTGCGTTGTAAGAGAGACTTTTTTTTATAAATATTTATACAATGACTGTCCCAGAATGACCCAAACTGGTGCTGTAACTCGAAAACTAATTGATGGATTGAGCTGACCTTGGGCTCATTCGAAAAAGAAAGTCAAAAGAAAGCGATTGCGCAAAAGATCATTTTATTTGGATGAAAATCGACCAAGTTATGACTTTTTCAAAACAAAATCCTGGACCGCAGAGCATTCTCTCTCGGACTTCAGTGAATTTTCCCTCTAAACTTCTACCTATTTTCAACAGTATTTATCAGTATTCCCCGTCAATTAGCTCTGCCTCCTTAAAGTAATATTTTCCTCTGTTTCAGATATATTCCATTGTGGCTGTGGTATCCCGTTTATAATTTGTTACCTATTCTAATTTTATTTATTTTATGTTCTAATTTTATTTTTGTATAGTTTTATTAAGTGTAATTCTGCTTCCTGCGTAGCTCATCTTCCTCTCGTCTAATCTTCATTACTGAGTGACCTGCCTCAGACGAAGAGCAAGTTCTTTCTCTGTAAACTTAGACTTTCCGTATCAACCATGAAGGGACGTAAACTTAGTCTCACGCCTTGGTATCCATATTCGTTTCTTAAATAGCTCCTCTCTTCATCATTGGTTGATTATTGAAATTGATAGGCAAAGTGATAGACATAGAAGACATAAAGAATAAAGAACGATCCTATTGGTTGAAACGGGTGGCTCTTATAGACTAAGGGAGAAAATGATGGACTAACTGTCGGGTCTCGCAGAGGGTATCCATTAGTTAGTCTATTACCTATCTCCTTTGTCCCTTGGAACCACCAGCTTCCACCAATATAATCCCTCCAAATCCCTTTTGTCTTCTTTGTCTATAGCTTTGTCTATCAATATCAATAATCGACCCGCTGTATGGTTTACATTGTGATTTAGACAGGTTTCAGGGAGCCCTCAAAACAGCATCATACAAAGGACAATTTTTGCCTACTTCAAGTAAAACTCTGCAGTGTAACTTTAAAAATGGATTCTTGAAAGTGACTGTAATGATTTGCCGCTGCAAAAAAGTACAAAATGCGGAAGAAAAAATGACCTGATTTTGAGAAACATTAAGGTACATGGGAACCTACCTTAAAATATACAAATCTCTCAGTACATTTTCTTTCCTATTTTATAATTTTTGTAATGGTGAATCATTGCAGTTCCTCGTAAGGACTAATTTTCAAAGTTCTACTGCTGAATTTTACCCGAGGTTCCCAAAAAGTGTCTTTCCAACGAAGATATGTTAAGGATCTCCTAGATTCTCCTTTAATCACAATATAAACCATATGGGGACATATTTCTGCCGAACGGAACTATGTGTATTAAGACAAGGGCCCTGAGACCCAAAAGAATATATGCATGACAGGGCTCATGTCTTAATGCACATAATTCCGTTCGACAGAATTACGTCCATGGAGCCTCCTACTGGAGGGAGCTGCTCAAGGCACAACTATGATTGCGACCCTTAAAATCAATCTCCAACCTACGCAACTTTTTTTCCCACTGCAAGTAGGATTACAGGCTCCTTGCTTCTAAAATCAACAACCGTTTTCGCAATTCATATAATATAACGAACCATTAGAGACAAGGTAAAACTCCAAGCATTGAAATACATATTCTCTCATGAAAATTTCAACGATTTACACTTTTATATTTTCAATTTCATCTCATAAGTGAGATACTTCAAGTCTGTTGAAAGCGCCCTTGAATCAAATTGAGCACTGAACTCATTTCAGTGTCCCTTATAATGAAATGATCCTCCCAGTGTATTCAATGGTTCTTGAAAACTTAACGTGTGCTGTACCCATAGAAAGTAGAGATTGTCATGGAATCTAACCCTTGATATTTTTCATATTATAAATACGATTTGAATTGCTGATTTTGAATTTTCTGTGAGCAAAAAGTTTGAAGTGTCTAATTTCAATGAAAAAAATAAACTCTAATATTTTACTTTCAAGTTGATTATAGAAATAGTCAGAATTTTCATTGTGTTTTAAATGTTTGATGAGGGAACATGTTGTGCAATGCCTTAATTCTTGTCCTGTCCAGTGTTATGTTCTCAATTGGATGCATTTCTACTGAACGGAACTATGTGCATTAAGACATAAGCCCTGAGACCCATAACAACATATGCATAACAGGGCTCATGTCGTAATGCTCATAGTTCCGTTTGGCAAAAATATGTCCAATTGAGTATCTCTCAGTAAAAGGCTATTTCTGAAAAGCAAAAAAATCCTGAGTCCCGAAGTCGTCAGTCAGAATCTCTGAACTTGAGAGTCCGTGAATACAAGTCTGTCTGAACATAATGAACAGCTTTCTTCTGTATCAATTGAGCTTTCATCTAATGTTTACTTCCAAGCAGTCTTCTGAGCTTCGCTGTCTCTGAGTGATCTGTTAGAGATATAAGTTTGTGTTGTGAGTTTAATGCTTCTCTATAGTTGCATCCTTTTACCTTGAAGCATGATTTTTATGATTTTATCCTAGGTCGAATTTTACCAATGATAGAAGCCCTCGAAAAGTTAAACCGCTGTTTCTACAAATATCAGTAGACCCTGTTTTTATTGTAATTTCTGTGTTGGACCTGTACATTCTTTTTTGTTATTTTATGTGTCTAGCCCCTGCGCTCAAACCAAACGTTTATTGTTAACGGCTTAATTTTTCAAGTCTCATCATTTTCTCTCAAGTTTTTTTATATGTGTATCCATAAAAATCTGGAAATAACAGGTATGATAATAAAACGCAATCAGTTTGAAGAGTCAGTCCGGTCTATTTTGTCTTATTAATTTTCTTAATTCTTATAATTTCCTCCCATCAGACAAAGCTCACCTATTAAACCATGATCAACGATGAGTCCGTTACGTATGTAACAAAATCTTTTTAGATTATCGCAACTTGTAGATTAACCATCATCGCCACCAATTATTTGGAAGACTCAAAATTCTTGGGGACAGTTGAAGATCATCAAATTTTATTTTCAAACAAATAAAAAGGGTTTCTTCATTTTCATGTAGGCTGTCATTATGCAAGACAGGCATAAGAGCTATCTTCTGCATACTTATATGGTCACGTTTTGGAAACACAACAAACAAATTTTAAAGCTAGAAATTGGCAGAAAAGAGCGCCATTTTACTTAACAGTACAGCCTTCATTGACTCTGGCAAAATGATACCCCTTGCTGTTGTTCTGTCAGAAGCAACACCAATTTTTGCTCACTTACAACTTTCTTGTAGGTTTCGTTTTTCTTACAACTAAGGCGAATTTAGCTATTTTAGCGGGATCAAAGATTTCACCTAAATTGGAGTAGACGAATTTTGAAACTTAATCTCGAAAATTTGAGGTCTATACAAGCTCTTCCCTATTGTGACAGCATTGTTTTTCCCATTATAATTTGATGTCAATCACCCTTCAATAATTCTGTTAATAGTGGAATTAGTGGTGTAAACTTGATAAAATGTTGGGATAACCTGATAGAAAAACGTCTGCAAATACAAACTTCAAAGTAAAAAACAAGTTTTCATCAACGGCTTTTATTTTATTGTTTTCATTGGTTAATTGGAAGTTTTCACAAAATTTTATTGTTTAAAAAAATTATCGATGTTATCAGATAATACACTGATCCCAAAGATGATTCAAAAATCCTAAAAAAATGATGAGAAAAGGGACTTCCATTTCTAATAGCATAATTCTTGAGGCCCTCTTGACAATCAGATGTCACAATTAATAAGAACATATGAATTCAAAGTGTTGATCAAAGATTGATTAGAAGTTGGAGGATATTTTATTTTTACCCGTACCTAAAAATATTTTATTATTTCATATGAGTCTTGAAAGTTTTCAGTTCGAAACATTCTTGAAGTATTTCAAGAGAAAATTCTACTGAAATTAAAGAAAATTGATGAAAAATAACAGTAGGGTCTTTTAAGGTAAAAAACCTTTTGGAGAGAGTGGAAAATTATTTCTTTCTTTATTTTGGAATTGGAGTATTCTATTTCAACTCTTAGATGTACTTAGTATTTTTATAGCCTTCAGCATTTTTCTTTTTTTTTTATTTTCTCTTCATTAGCAATTTACTCAAGATTAGCTGGCTTTCATCTCTGTAATATTTGTTTTTCGTATGGCAAGTCATCCTGCCCTTTGGGTGGATGTTGCAATAGAGCCGATTTGAAAAAAATCTTAACTTTATACATATCTGTGACTAACTTCTAATTAGAGACAAATATACATTTTATATAATGATAACTGTTACATATTTACAAGAACTGAGACCAGGAAAGCAGATTACAGTTCCTATGAATGAGATTAATTGATGGAATTAATGATCTGTATGTGATGCTCGTCAAAACAGAATTAGGCCACAAAGTCGAGAGGCCTATTGAATCCACCTTTCCGATTCATGTACTGACGATACTTCCGCTTCAGTATGACGTGCACAGCTCCAGCATCATTGCCCTCAACTTGTTTTCCTTTCGTTGTGTCAAAAGTGCAGAATCCCATGACTTTTAGCATTTCTTGTTCATCGTTTGTCTTATTCTGTAAGTCAGCCGCTGCAAATGGAAGAAAGAAAGTAACATATTATAATTTTCAGCAACATTAAGTACTTACACTTAAAAATCCGATATTGATTTATGTTGTCAACTGAAAATACCACTGATCCTGGTCGGTTTCTTTGACATGACCCTCTCACTGACATCATTTTCAAGAAGTCTATCTTGGAGGCCAGAGAGGGGAAAAAAGGGGATAGGGGAAAAGTTACTTTTTCAGACCGTGACACTTCTTGGATGCGCGATGGCATTGAGGTTGAATACAAGCATTGATGTATGAAAGGATCACAGCCATGAAGAAATTAGTAAAACCCAAAATGAGGATTTGGTTAGTGAATGTTGAGGCTTTGACGGTGTAGTTTTTCTCGAATGAATCAAGAGGTCAACAGTTCAAAGTAATAAAATAAACATCAACTCACTGGAGACAGTAGGTCTTTCATACTTTTTGCTCCGAACAGGTGACCTTGATCTGGATCTGGAGTAGTGTTTCCTGCTGAGTCTGTCGCGGTCTCTTTCCCTTTCACGGTCTCTGTCGCGGCCCCGATCTCTTTCACGATCAATAGACCTTTAAGGAATAAAAAAAGAGTCTCATGAGCAGTGATTGGCATAAGCACATTGAAACTTAAATTAAATAAACCGATAGCTTTCTATAATAGCTCATGCAAAAATTGAAGAAAATTAAAGAATTAAAGAAAGAACTTGATCCAACAGATGTCCCTCGCTGAAGAATCAATGTTTTCCAGCTATCGATTCAATAATACTATTAGATTTTAGAATTATAGATTTATTCCAGAAAAGTACAAAAATGACATTAAACAGTAGATATCGACGGTGAAAGTAGGCAATCACATAACTCGTTTGCGGTGTCTGAAAATCTCCGCCTATACGTCATTTTTTTAAAAGAGAACAAATTGACATTATTTCTTGAAGTTTTTGCAGAATTTTCTTCGAATTGGGAAGAAAAATCATGACAGTTTTAAAGAATTGCCGTTGAGTAGTTTTCCATTTAAAAAATAAAGTATGATAAGAAGTCTGCGACGTCGCAAACCGAGTTATGTGATTGCCAACTTACATCGTCGATATGTACTCCCCGAAATTTTGAAGCTTGTGTGGGGGAGTTACATGTCTTCGAAAATAAGAAAATAAAACAAAACAAAATAAGATAACTGCTTGCAAAATTGAAGAAAACAATTTAAAATAAAGATACAAAATGAAAGAAAAAGTAAAACATGTTTAAATTAAGACAATTGTAGTCAATTTGTTTATTTGAGAATATGTTTTTTTCTTTTTTTCGGTTTCCTGACTTCATCTAATGTTACGAGAACCCCTGCCAAATAAGATTGAGCACTTCTAAAGTGATATTAAATCATCTGTTTTAAGTCAAGCGTTTAAAGTAAATGCAAGAATCAAGTTGGCAGCTCCTCTGACATAGATCCTCCAAAAGTGCTCAAAATTATTTAGCGTGGACTCCACTAGAGGGGCAGTGAGGAGAAAGACCCCCAGACGTTTCAGGCTGATCGAATCAAGAATCTTGTTTTGAATTTAAACATTCTTAATTATTCAAGGAAATATACTTGCCGTAAAATCTTAAAATATTCTACATTTTTTCTAAGTTAATAATTGTCACGGTAATACGGGCACCAAAACTGTTCGTTCGTCTGAGCTGTATGATTTAGAAATGAAAAATCTTGATGCCCAACCTCACAAGCAATTATTTGCTTATATAAAGGCGTTCAGCATATTCAAAAATTTGCCTTGTAAACTACTAATTTGAATGGATGAGTAAGATTATATCAATAGAGTGTTGCCCTCCGTAGTCTCTTCGATCTCTCAGGAGAATACCAACAGGAACAGACAGGCTCATTCTGGCAAGACTCTTTAGATAGACGGGCCAACTAAAGACAACTTCTAGGAATTTCTTTGGTCTCTCGAAAGTCACATTTTTAATACTCGAACAGGAATTGATAATACTACCTTCGCTTCGGAGAGGGACGTCGTCTCCTATCTCGGTCTCTTTCTCTGGATTTGCTTCTATGCTTTCTCCTGTGAGGTGATGGTGAGCGAGATCGGCTCGAACTTCGTCCCATCGAGCACAAACCCAATTAATGCGGAGAAAAATGAAAGAGACAAATGAGCACAAAATTGAATAAAAGGAATCAATACCTTATCAATACGGAAACGAATTTTTATTATTAATCGCTTATAGGTTAGGGCTACTGTTGACAAAACAAAATACAATTACCAACTTAGAACTAATGGCACCAGATTATCTACCAAAATTTGGAGCCCATAATGAATAATACCTCATCATTAATGATGAAATAATAACCAAAAACCAAAAATAATTAGTAATAAGCTCCTGGAATTCTCCTCCTAATTTTTTCCGGAAAAATCATACGATTGGTTTGAGGGATTGAGAAAAATTAGGGAAGGAGAGTCAAATATATTTTAGCATGCTACAGTTGACCTCTTTGGTGTGACGTCATCACTCCATACGTCGGCGGGATTTTTAAATTGACGGACTTTCACGATGAGCAAAAATATTATTAATTCGTCACCTTCCGGGCAAAGTATCACAAGCGCCATGCGACGCTTCAAAATTTCCGCCGCCATTTTATTTTATTACAGAGAAATTGTTGGTTGAATCTGTTTGAAAATTTCACTGAATTTTATCGGCATCGCAAAGAAAATTCAGTGAAATTTTCGGACAGCTTCGTTGAACAATTTCTCTGTAAAAGAATAAAACGGCGGCGGAATTTTTGAAACGTCGCATGGCGCTTGTGATACTTTGCCCGGAAGGTGACGAATTCTTGTCTTCATGTCAGAGAATATTCTTGAAAATTTCGCACAAATCATCATTGAATAAATGCTTGATATTTTCTTGAAGGAAACAAAATACGAGCAGAAATGCTAAAGACCATCTTCCCTCTATGCGCATCTCCATAGTGTTACCAAGTCATCGTGTATTTTCTACTAGAATTCATCTGTCTGGTAAAGTAATCCCAGCAATTCATTAATTTCCAAAAATGCGCTCAGGTATTTGCAAAATATATACAGCAAGCCATAATACTGTATCTTTTTTTACAGGTACGAACACCCTTCGCTTAATTTAAATTTGCTATGCGATACGACTTATCAGTCCAGAGTTCGAACAGTTGCGCGTTTGATTCCGCATTCAACGATGAGAGCATAATGCACATGCATGAACGGCACACAAAGAATCGAGTCAATCAGAAAGGTCGGACATTAAATTTTCAACTTAAATTGCAAAATTTGATGTTTATTTCGTCACATTTTGAAATTTAAAGGGTGTTTCTGAAAGAAAAATTTCACAAGAAAACCAATGGAGCCACTTTTAAAACCTCAAAATTGTGTATGAACGGAGTTATAAGCTTTTACTTAAAGTTTCCAAATTTTGTCCGACCTCTCTCATTGACTCGATCCATTGTGCGGCAGTACTTTAAGGCAGGCGAAAAGATATTATTTCCCTTCATTTTCACGTGATACCACATCACATACTTACACGGGCGTTCGAATTCCTGCCTTGATTCCCGCATTTAACGACGAGAGGATAAGGCCTGCCTGCATGAGCGTCAGTAATTTGAGAAAACCTAATCAATTTTCAAATTAAGGGAGTTATGTGTGACTAAGAGTGTCGGCCACCACTTTGCTATCATCGGGACTTCAGTAGCATCATTTTCCTCGACCGGAGGTGGCCACTGCCACTCTTGATAGGTGAAAAGCTGAGAATTCCCTTCATTTCCGCGTGATACCACATCACATACTCACTTCGGAGCATGGCCGGAGGGCGTCAACTCTTGGGGCCGCAAAAAATGTGCGAAGAGAAAAACGCAAACAGGGTGCTGCAGGGAACACCGCACCGCCGGAAGGGTGGCGCGGCAACATGGCGATTCAATCCAGAAAACTCAGGTGCACGGTGATTATCAATGTAGACCGCAAAATATTTGATGAAAGAGTCCAAAAATCCGCATAAAAAAATATGTTGGGTAAGCGATGTACGTACGGCATGATCCCTCCCCCCTTCCTCCGCTTTCGGCGACAATTCGGGGGGGGGGGGGGGCGGTAATTAGGTACGTAAATCCGGCCTTGTTTGCCAGATTATTAAATTGCTTTATACCTCAGGGAAAATCAATACTTCACGATTCAATCAATCACGATTCAGTGCCTGAATTCCTACCTAAGTAATATTTATTATGTCAAGATTAAACCTACTGTAATTGTTTTTTCAATAACGTGATATATAAAATAAGTTTTTAAAGGGGGGGGGGCAGAAAAAAGTATGAGTCGAGCGATTCAAAAACTTACATATGCAGCAGGTAATTAAAGTGGCAATAATAATGCATAATGCTCAAGGAGGCATTTCATATTGAACGGTGGCCAGGCAGTTGCATGTTTCTCATGGTCAATGATCAATAGTAGGAGGGGTAGGGAAGAGGCGGTGGTATGGCCGAGGATGGAGTCTCTAGTTTTTTAATGATTAAGTATATAGATAATAAAATAATTACCTAATTTTCAATGTAGATTTTCGACATATTTTTTTAAGTGGAAATTACTTCGGGAACAAAATGGTTTTTTCAAAAGAAATTCATACTATGGGGAAATTTTAGATTATGAAAAATTGAGACGCCCGCTAATAGACTTAGAATCTACGAAAAATAGTTAAAAATCCTAAAATTCCTGATCAGAGTGGATAGAAATTCGGGACTGGTCACGACCTGGCTACTTTTAAATTCCGCGCCAGTTGATGAGTACCACTGCAGTGCTGCTCTCTAGCGACCTCTGCAGGAACTCTATTTTGACTGTCAATTTCGCCAATCGGATTTTGAGATCCAGCGAAGTGAAAATAATCAGCAAATTCAGCGAAATTATCTTATCTCACACTTTTTCCTCCTCACAAGTGTTTGTAATCAAAAGTTGTGTATTTCCACGCTGTGTTTCAAGTGTGATTCTCGTTCGCGAATTGAACTTTAGCTCATCCTAATCATGCTCGCAGCGAGTAGAAAGTAATAAATCGGTATTGTCACCAAATTTTCGGTCTCGAAATTGGTAAGTGGTCTCTGGGTTTCCTCGTCCAGACGTGTTTCCATAGTTCAATGAATTTCGAGATAGCAATCCGGTTACTCGCGTATTTAAACTGGCTGTGCACCAGTGGTCTCCAACTTGCGTTTCAATTTCATTTCGGTTGACGTCTCCTCACAAATTTGTCGGCTTTCAAGAACAGCATTCCACCCATCTCGCCGATCTAACGATCCCGTTGCATTCCCGTTGGCACCATTATCACCCCAGCCTCAACGGAAAGGGTTTATCTATTCGTATTGCGGGAACTCCTTTATCACTTCTGTGCGTATCTCATTTCCTCTGGTTTGCTACGTTGCAGTCAATAACGAAATCATGCCAGTACATATGTCTTTTTCACTGCCCCTGATTTATGTTCGCCTCTTAACAAGCTCATCTAGGTTAGGTGCCAGCGATACCTACCCAAGAACTTTTTTGCTTTGTGAATAGAAGATAGTGTGTTTACTTTAAACGTGCTTCACTCTGCTCTGAATTTCCGTAATTTGCATCATCAAGTTATTTTTGTTTTGTTTTTCAGAGTACAAGCTCTTCGTGGGGACACAACGCCCCCACTGCTGATATGGCCGAAACAGAAACTTTTTAACATGCTTACTCCCGAATCTGAATTGTCCCCATCATTTGAGCCAAGCTCGTGAACTACTCTGCTTTGGAATCTCTCATTATCTTCGTCCAAATATGTAAGAATAAATACTATGTTTACCTCTTTTCAGCCAGGTTACTGAATTCCACATCTCGTAGCTAAATCGAAGGTTTCTGCTTTTTAAACCAATGTATAATTGAATTGGTGAACTTCAATCTTTTTTCATCTTGTTTTTTAAGCACATTTTAAACAGATTATTGTGTCTATTTGGTCGAGATTGGTCGACAGTTATTTATGGTCCTAGCTGAGCCTCATTCTGACACATGAGACAAGTGGAAAATCCCACCATAAAATAATATTTACAGGAGGAGTGCAGGTAAAACTTTATTTCTAATTTAGGAGGAAATCCCTTCAACTGTCTCTAAATTTTCCTATTTTTGAGGAATCTCTGCAAAAAAAAAATGAAAAGTAAGGTCTGGCCGAAAATCAACACTTTTTTTTTTAATTCTTGAGCATTGCAATGCAGTAAAACAATGTCAAACAATAGTAAGTACTTAAGTAGGGGCATAGAAAAGAAAATGATTCAATTTTCCAACAGAAAAATGTTCATCCAAAAATCAGTTGCAAACAGAAGACAGTATCTAGTGTGTGTTCTACCCTTTTCCTTCACACTTTTTTTTTAAAATTATTTCAAATAGCCCATGAAGGCTAATCTGCCGTGCTAAGGAAAAATGCTATATGAGCCTTCAGGCATTGCCAAATTTCCTTTGATAAACCGCAAATTTCCTGGTAAACTTGTAATTGTTTTCCAGCCAATTTTTCAGATAATTTTGTTCGCAATTTCACCCAAAGATTCCGAAAATTTAAAGGAAAAATATTCCTGACTATCCTCAAAAATAAACATTTCATCAAAGGACATTTGGCAACTCTCGAATGTTCATACGGCGTTTTTCCCTAGCATGCCATTAATCCCATTCAGTACCTAGCAACATCTTTTCCTACTCTTCTTCCTGTACCTAAAACTTTTTAACCTCCCTCCCCACTTGTGCATCTATCTCTGTAAGCCATATTCCTTCTACCTATAGCACCTAGGGAGCAATTACTCACACTGATCAAAATTGAATACTTATCCTTGATCATAACTGAGAAAAAAGTCGAATTTTAGTCAGAGGATTACACGGGTGCAAATTTTTCTCGATTGTGGTTGCAACCAAATTGCAGACATACCCCCAAAAAATTGCAGAGGCCATGAACAATTTGCACCTCTGGAGGATCATGTTTAGTTTTTGGGTCACTGCAGATCTGAGAGTTATCAAAGAATATTACAAAAGAGCATCAGAGACTGGCAGGATTTGTCTGATAAAAACTCAGAAGCATCTTTTAGTCCGTGCGACTCTTCAAGTTAAATTTCTTTTCCTAGCCACCAAGAGATAATGAACCAGATATCAATCCATTGTAAAATTCCAACAACCTCTTTTTAAGTATGTTAATGCCTAAGTTCAATCAAAAATGTTCATCTCCATTTCAGCGTGTGTAGATCTCCCATCATGTTTCATTTTTCAAAAAAACGAATTGAAAAGTCTCATTGAAATATCCTTGAAAAATCTTAGTTTTTGCCTAGAATCATCAGCCCCTGGTTTTCTATGGTATCTTGATATTTGAATCGTGTCAATGACTTTTGGAAAAACTAAGCCAGTCCAGCTACTTTTAATTTTGAGGTTCCGATAAGGTGGTTTAACATCAAAATCAGCACTGAATATATTGCTAGACAATATAGTGGCTAGCTACTCACCTCACCAATCTAAAGTTTTAATTGAATTGATTATTTGCAAAATTGTGTAAGTCCATTGCAATGTTTTAAAATGCTCCGCACAGTTTATTTTTGAATGAGTGGACACCTGAGCTTTCTTGGAGGATGATGGAGAAGTCTTACAGTCAAACAAATTCAGCTAATTTTCCAGGCAGTTGTGTTGTACGATAATGAGCTGTTTGTGGCAATTTTGAAATGTTCCTAAGGATGTGCACCTTTATGCCAAAAATTAATGAATTCTGCTGCTTGAAATAAGCGGAAGTTCTAGTGAACATGAAGTAGGTACAGTTAAAGAAGTGTCTCAGTTTAGTTAGAAAATGAGATGGTGGTTTAACTCTGATGAAGTATTGAAGTTCTCAGTCAGTATCAAATAGTCATTAGCTCATGAATGGTGGCGAAGTCTCAGCAATGATGACATAAATCTCATATTTTACTTGCATTTACATATCTGAAGTGGCACGCTTCTCTGATTAATGACACTTTAGGTCCTTCTCACACATTCAAATTTGTGTGTTTCCTGTCTTCCTATTTCCGATTTATGGAGTGAGTTTTTTAGATAAGGATTGGAAAACAGTTTTTATCTCAATAATTGTTCTCAGCTTCAAGTGCCTGTTTTGCTTAACTCCGTAAATGTGATCGCCAGTGACTATCCTTCTCAACTGAGAGCATGATCTATAAACTCATAGCATGAAGATTGCCAGGTATTTTTTTATTACCATAGTAGCTTTGCTGTGTCCGTCTGCCTTTGACCTGCTGGTTTTAATGATACCAAGGTTAAAATCAGTTAGCTAATTGTGTGACAGTGGTGATGCGTAGCTCCAAATGCGTAAGAGAAAAACTGCCTAACTTTCAAAGTGTGTAACATAACTGCTCAGCCTTTCCTTCTTGTATTAGGAAGAATTTTGCCACCAAGCAAAGGCTATTCAGCAAAATTCATTCAACAAATCAGGAATCAGGACAAATTATGTACTTTTTTTACTATTACTTAAAGCTCTCAGAATGACAAGTGCCTAATTGGAATAGTTAGTAGATATTACCACTTGAGATTTTAATTTTTTTTGTAGATGCTCTGTCGTTTATATTTGACGTCTACCATACTCTTTTGTTTCTTTTTTTCGATTTGTAAACGATCCCTTTTTAAATCTTTCTGTGTTGTTTGTTTGTTTATAGTCCAAAGTCGTTTTGACGAAAGAGAACACAAAAATGGATTGCCGAAAATCGAACAGCAATCACAACCTTTCAGAATTAGGCATGAAAAGTAAGTTACTCTCTAAGTGTCAATTATCTTCACAAATGTCAAATTTTAACTTGAAGGTGTTTTCATGTCACAATTTTCTTAGAGGAATGCCAAATTACTTGATTCTGGAGCAATTTAATTGTTGAAATACAGTTTCATAGGTTTAGTGGAGCTGTCTAGGGTCCAGTTTGGGAAAGTTTTTTTATTGGTGAGGTAAGAAAGTGTTAGAAACTATGTCGCACCTTCCCTGGGTGTCCATTTGTAAACAGGTTTAAAAATTAAGCTGTGCAGCCTCAGAAATTTTAAAGAAGTCCCAAAAAAATTAGATGTGCTAATAACAGAGAGTGTTAGATGACTTCCTTGCGCATCATGTTCCATAAAAAAATTTCAAATGAGTATGTGCAAGTACAAGCACTGTTGTTAAATTTTAGTACATGTACTTGCAAGTAGAATTAAAAGGATTTAATCAGGTGCAGCCGGATTGCATTCCTTGTTTCTTAATTTCCTCCCATGTTTTATATTTTAAACAAAATTCTGAATGACGCATAGCCCCTTGAAACTTTCTATGAACCTCTCTTGGATTATGAGGCGAATTTCATGGTAGAATATTACTTAGTTCTCAGTTTAAAAATTACAACACAAGAGAAAGTAAGATGCCGTCTCATGTAGATAGGCTGTCATTGGTAATCTCCGGCCAGTCATTGGAACCATTTGTTTCTCACTGAAAACTCATGATCACCTTCCCAGCCCGTTTTCCATTGTGTTAATACCCATTTTTGTATTTCTCAGGTGAAAAAAGGAAACAGCTAACCTTAACCCTCGGGTCCTCGGATGGAGTAAGGCGGCCGTTCCCATCAAGCACCAGTGATTATCAACTACATCAGTTGTAAGTGTACTTTGCTTCTTCAAACAGGGCACTGGCAAGGAATTTTTGCCAGGATGTAAATTTAGTATTGTTAGAAATAAGGTAAACTCAGCCGGCAAATTTTAAAAACTCGCCAGCTCACCCACTTTATTTTGCAATACAAACCTTTTGTATCTTGGAATTCTGAGTATGAAAATGGTTTTGCTGTATCCCTAGTATGCTCTAATTTTCTGGAAAATTTAATTCTCCTAGGAAAAGCCTGTTCTCAATATTCCAGCAAATGGCAGGTTCAGAGAAAAAATTAAGGTAATTTTCGAACTCTGTACTAAACATTACTAAATAATTAACCATCATATTTCCAAAAAAGAAAGGTTTTTGGAGACGTGTGTAATTTTTTGAGGTAAAGTATGGTGCGAAAACACATTTTTCACTGCAACATGAAATCATTAAAATGAATGATTTTCGTTCCACTGAGTCTGTTTTCCGGAATTATTCACTGTAGTTTTCGCTGTCGGATTTAGGGGCTTAAAATATTTCACACGGACATTGTTATGCGTTTTTTCTATGATGGAGTTTTAGTGCCATTCAAAATATTGTGGGATACTAGGCTAGCTTCACTGAGTGACATTTACTGATAAGATCAAACAGGAATTAAACCAGTATAAATTTGTAGGCATAGCTCCAGCTTAAAATTTCAGTGCGTCTGCCTGAGCTGAACACTTTCACCCTGCAGTTTTGCATTGAAACGTATTAGAGTTCATTTTGTGACTCTAATTCTATTTTTCGGATTTTTTGGCTTTTATATGTATCCCGTGTAGAGTATAGTGAACCTAGCACTAATTTACCATCCTGTTACTATACAGTATTCTGACCATATTTTTAGTGTTTTTTTGTTGAAATGATTCATGGGTATAACTATCACTATGCACTTATCCTACATTTTCACTCATTCAATCAAACTCACTTGATTCACTTGTATAGGAAGAGAAGTCTTTAAGTGTTAGTTACTTGTGAAATTTGTTCTCAAATAAATTTATATGGTTGTATTTTTTTCTCTTTTTAGGCCGAAAAGTAGTCAGTTTTGTAACATTGATGAAGATAGGTTCACACATTCCAGCTCTTCAAGACAAAAATCAATGCCCAGGCTCAAACCTTTTAATTCAGACGTGATCACTGACCCGTCCAAGTAAGCATTTGAATTCATGTGATTCTTTCTTTCAGGCCTTTTTGGATTGACGTTACTAAGTTTGTGTTAATCACATCAAACAGAGCTTTCAATTTCTGGATTGGGAGATTGAATTCTGTGTTTCTTCCTTATCTTGCAATCTTCCCATAGATCACTTTTTTTGTCAGTTCGTATGAAAGGTTTCTCAGTCAACTTAAATATGCCATGTTATTTCTAGAGAAATATAGAATAGTTCAGAGATCCTCATGGGAAGGAAGTGCTCTACACTTACTATGCTACATTTTTATTAATTCAAAATTCTGTGGACGATTTTTATCTTATATTCTGGTTTTTTGAATGAAGATAAAATTAAATGTTCAGAGAAAAAAACCTGTTCATTTTACAGTGAAACCTCGGTAAGTCGGTTCCCGGATAAGCCGGTAACCCGCTTTAGTCGGTAGAATCGCCTGGTCCCGTTTATCACCCATATAACACAATGCTAAATAAGTCTCGGTATCTCGGTTTGGTCAGATTCTGAACCCGCTTAACTCGGTGAAATTTTTCCATCTCGACCTTTTTTTCTTCGATCGTCACCCGTGATCAAGCGTAGGTACCCGTGCGCGGTGCGGGTCGGGTCAAGTTACGCCACGAAGGGTGAGCGAATCTCCGAGAGAGCGCAGCCTGCGCAGCGCAGTGCGAGAAACGACATCGGAAACAGAGAGATAATGAATCAAAAACACTCGATAACAACACGAAAGATGAGAACAGTAGAGAATAGGATATCTGATACCGCGTGTTATCTTATCGCGCGTGTGAAAACACGCATGCATAATTAAGCAATTTCACGCATCGATGAGTTGACAGGTCCAGTCGGCACCGGCCCCTCTCCCCTTACCATCTTGCATTGCCCTTCCCCGCTCCCCCCAGGAATCTTCCGCAGAGTTTTTCGGAGATTTTAGCGAGTATTGATACGTTGCATTTTCAGTGCAACGACCCGCCATAGCGGGCGGCCGCGGCGCATCACCGCGCGGCATGCCGCGTGGGGTGATACGCAATGGGGTGCCGCGGCACCCCAACATACGATTAACCCGATGACTTCATGATGCCCTGACACTTTCAACACGCAATTTCAAGTGCATTTCATGAAATTTTACCATTTAGTACCATTTTCTTCGATCAAATGGCTCTCCAAAACACTCCTATGAGTCACTCTACACGCACGTTTGCGTTTGTCCAATTTAGGGCGCGAAATTTGAAAAAGCGCGGCAGGAAAAGTGGCAGTCCGCTTAAGTCGGTAACCCGCTTAACTCGGTAAATTTCCTCGGTCCCGATGGAAACCGAGTTACCGAGGTTTCACTGTACTGCATGCTCAAACTGTGCAAAATTTGAATGTTTTAATGTTACATTGCAGACCATCAATTTCTTTTGTTTCATGCTTTTTCATTGCTTTGTCATAGGGATCGGTTCAAGATTTGCCAAAACATGCAGTCGTCCGGGAAGTTGCAAGTGTCACCAGATTCGGTAATAACGACACTCATTTATTCCTCCATCGTAATTTAATTGTGTAAAAACATAAATTCAAAATATTTTGTACTCCCGAAATGATGTTTATGATTCACTTCAATTGCTTATCATTCATAACAGAGTTTTGATGGTCGTCTCATTCTTATGTATAACCACCTAAGAATTGTATTCATTGAGGTAAAACATGGTATAATTTGAAGCAAATTTCAATTGAAGAGTTTGCCTGTAGAAGGGTATCTTTGAAATATATGTATTGTGAGCACAATGCATTTGAAGCTTGAGCTTTAAGAAAGCAGCCTTGCTCATTTTGGCTTCTAATTCTGTATGAGAACCTCAAATCACCATAAGTGCATAATGTAGTTCAGAAGTTGTGGAAATGGTGCATAAAATGAAGACCAATGGGCCTGTTGCAAACTTTTGCTAGAGCAAAAATAAGAGTTGTTTCTTATAGATAATGCCTCAGAAATCACGATGAGCGCATCGGCAAAGTCTGAAATGCACTCATAACTTCACAATCTGCGTAAGAAATTTGCGTTTTTTTAAGCTTCCCGCTTCAAAAACGATACTACGGCACAGGTGAACATTTTGTTAGAGGAGTCGCTCCATCGTCGGCGATATTCATCATGGCCGACACTTGCGCGCAGTTTTGCGCGTAATTCGAGGAGAGTTCAAGGTCAATCAATGCGGGCATGGAAAACATGAACGTTAAAACACGCCGATTGTTATCTGGTCTAATCCAGTTCAGGTATTATCTCGTCCCATCACACGTGTTTTGGCGGATTGGCGTCGGCCATGATGAGTATTGCCGACGATGGAACGACTCCTCTTACAAAATGTTCACCTGTGCCGTAGTATCGCTTTTGAAGCGGGAAGCTCAAAAAACCGCAAATTTCTTATGCAGACTGTGAAGTTATGAGTGCATTTCAGACTTTGCCGATGCGCTCATCGTGATTTTTGAGGCATTATCTATAAGAAACAACTCTTATTTTTGCTCTAGCAAAAGTTTGCAACAGGCCCATTGTATACGCCCCTTTTTGGGCGAACTTTTTAATTCGAGTTATTGTAACTCACTTCTACCCTCAGATAATTGTGCACAGCTTTTGAGGAGCCTATGAACTGCAGAATATATCTGGAATTTAAATCTAAATTATAGAGAATAAAAAGACCACAATTTTTACTCACAAGGGGAGCTTCCCAAGTGTAACCGGAATTTCGAGTTGAAATTTCGCATGAAGATACTAGAGATGAAATTAGGGGACCTGTATTTTTTTGTTTTTTCAAATGGGACGGGGAAAGCCCTCACAAATAATGCGAAAGATGTGGAAAAAACGCAAGCGCTATGTGAGTAGAGCCCCCTGTGTGGGCAGCTTCCAGTGGCACAAGGTAAATATAGGTGACAGAAGCCGGTACCCTTACCAGTGCGGCATGGCCAAACGTTTACGCGCTCGCCTCATAGGTGGGAGATCCCTGGATCGAAACTCGGTTCCGGCTTGTAATTTTTATTTTACTTTATGCTTGTTTATTTTTCAATTACTTTTTTTTTTGCACCATTCTCTCCGCCACCCAACTTACAAGGTAGAACGCGTTGTGACTGAAGATTTTTTACATTTGCTGATAGAAAAGCGATGTTTCTGTTGGATTGAAACGTTATTTATAATCGAATAAATAAAATGCTCTAAAAATCACCAAATTTCGTCGCCTTCGTGAGTTTTAGAGTGTTTTGTGTATTCGATTATATATAACGTTTCAATCCCACAGAAACATCGATTTTCTATCAGCAAATGTAAAAAATCTTCAGTCACAACGCGTTCTACCTCGTAAGTCAGGTGGCGGAGAGAATGGTGCAAAAAAAAGTAATTGAAAAATAAACAAGCATAATGTAAAATAAAAATTACAAGCCGGAACCGAGTTTCGATCCAGGGATCTCCCACCTATGAGGCGAGCGCGCATCCGTTCGGCCATGCCGAACTTATAAGGGTACTGGCTTCTGTCACCTACGTTTACCTTGTGCTGCTGGAAGCCGCCCGCACAGGGGGCTCCGCTCGCATAGCGCTTGCGTTTTTTCCGCATCTTTCGCGTTATTTTTGAGGGCTTTCCCGGTCCCATTCGAAAAAACGAAAAAATACGGGTCCTCAAATTTCATCTCTAGTATCTTCATGCGAAATTTCAACTTGAAATTCCGGTTACACTTGGGAAGCTCCCCTTGTCAGAGGTTTTTTTCTTTTATTTTCATTCTTTGACAAATTTTGATTTACTCTAAAACAAACCATGTTCAATATTTGTTCTGGGAAAATTCTCATAAATTTAAATAAAAAGCCATTAAAATTGGCAGTTAAGCACATAAGGATGGTAAATAAATCTCTCAGTTTTACTGTTTTGTTATGCATCAAAGGTTCAAAATCTCTTTCTTATTATGTTTTGTTTTCCCTCATTTCAAGGTTTATGACTTTACCTCAGATGACCTACAAGACTTTGGTGAGATAGGACGAGGCGGTTTTGGAACGGTTAACAAAATGGTTCACCGGAAAAGTGAAACTTTAATGGCTGTCAAGGTAAGAATTTTCCAGCCCTAATTTAATATTGTTCTTTTTAGTTTTCTCATCTTGTTTACTTACAGTGTTTTGACATCTTCCAACCGAAGTATCACAGGTGCCATTCATGCTTTGATGTTATGTTGCTGGACATCTCAGTATTGTTTTAATTTTTTCTTTAAATTTTTTGTTTGCTCTTTTTTGAAAATTTCTGGGATTAATTTTGATGCCTAAGCACAAATAGCGTTTGTGATACTTTGACAGCAGGTGACGAATTAATCGCCGTTCGAATAGGAGCCCAAAATAATAATTAATGAAAAGCTTTTAATCACGGCTGTATGAATTATAAATTCTATAACCAACTGAATAGTGAAGCGGACAGTCCATTATTTTTTAATACAAACGAGAATGGTGTAAAACTGTAGATTATTATTAAATATCAAAAAAATTGTAAACATTGGGACCAAGGTTTCTGACTGTCTGGAAAACCTGGAAATTCAGGGACTTTGCAGCGACCTGGAAAAGTCAGGGAATTTTGTGAAGCATGCCGGCCCAGTAACTTCAGTTGGGGCCATTCAAGAGAGTGCGAGCAAGTTAATGAGTGCCTTTTTCTGTAATTCAAATCTCTTTAAGTGGAGATTTTGTCAATAGTTTAGCTAAAGTCTGTGTAATATAAAGAGAATAAATCACAGTTTTTACTGAAAGTTTGAACATAGAGTTTTGATGGAAAGTTTCATGTTTTGATGAAGCCAAAAATGTTGTCCAGGAAATAGCAAAACAATTCAGGGAAAGTCTTGAAAGTGGAAAATGAAGAAAAAACAGAAACCCTGATTAGGGCAAATGGCAATAATGTAATGTAACTCTGTAAACAGGGACCTTGGCTCACAGATGAAGTCCAAATGTAATGGTCCATTGAAAAAGGAACCTTCGGAAGGAAAAATTCAAAATTGTTTTAAACATATCAGAGCATAGAATAATGTTTTACTAACATATTGTATCAAAAAATGCCCAGAAATGTCAAACCTAACCTATGATATGGCAAAGCTCAGTCAGCAATTCAAAAAAAAAATTTTAGAAAGAGGCACTTAAAATCTTGATCTGTTATGTTCAGAGCTTAAAATTACTTGACTGGTTTTGCAACTGTTGTGTGTACAAATAAACAAAACCGCTGGCAACTCATTCTATAGGACATTCTAGAGATTGAAAATCCGATTCTTTTCATCTAACTCTACAAAAATCGATTTATTGAAAATTTTTCCTCGGTTGATGAAGGTCCGTTTTCCTGTGGATGGCCACAGCTATCAATTCTTTACCTATTCTGCCGTGATTTTCTCATGAATCAACAGCGTTATTTGCTTCAAATTTTCCTCATTATTTCTATTTGGATTTACTTGCAGAGAATTAGGTCAACTGTAGATGAGAAAGAACAAAAACAGCTGCTCATGGATCTAGATGTCGTGATGATGTCTAACGAATGTCCGTATATCGTCCAGTTTTACGGAGCTTTATTTAAAGAGGTAAGCAACATTACGAAATGTGCTTTTATTTTTCAAATTAAACAGATTAGAGTAAATATTCTGAAAGGAGATTGTTGCAGCTCTTGCAATTCAAAGGTGCTCTCTGCAGTGTAGCCTATCTGAAGTTTAAGTGGTAATGCCTATGTGGGCCTTACCTACCTAGCATTCTTTTTCTCTTTTTGGCCGTCTTCATTGGGAGGGATGAAATATTTTTCCAATTAATATTTACCCATGGCAAATCCCAAGTCTTAATTTTATACAAATTACTTAATTTAGTTTGCTGTAAAATGAATGGGGATGTAATCTCAACACTGAACCCTTGGTATTAATGTTTTTGTGTCTCAAGTATTCAAACTCGGAAACACTATCGGTGCTAATAACCTTCATCAGCAGGTAACTTCCTCTAAAATTTTGGTTTGCTGCACTCAAGGGTATAATAAGTTAGTAGTGAAAACACGCCCATGCATAAGCCATATTATAATTTTTGGCTGTATAAAATTAAAAAATCTGTGCAATCGTTTGCTAGCACTTGCAGTAAATCAATCAATGCCCATTCATTACAAATTATAGCAGAGACGTCCAGAGATTGTATCTACTCATATGCAGTTAATTTCTTCTCCCATAAGTAGTTGTATAATTTCCACTTAATTAATTTTTTTTTTTTTATTTCAGGGTGATTGTTGGATTTGTATGGAATTGATGGATATTTCTTTAGATAAATTCTACAAATTTATTTATGAAAAAATGATGCAGAGAATACCCGAAAACATTTTAGGAAAAATTACTGTCGCAGTGAGTATTTTTTTAAACTTTTGCCACCTTTGCTAACATGGTTCCTTATTTGATGATTATTTTACGTAAGGAAGTTGTATCCAGATTTGGACCGTATAGGTAATCATCTGGATGCATACCAATGTGTGGTAATTTATCAATCATAAAAGCCGAGGTCTAACCATACAAACAGAAGAAAATTTGATATTTTTTCAGATTGACGGTGAAAAAGAAATAATTGTCTGTTAAAGTGAAGAATTGGAAAATGCACAACTACGCGAGGAGTGCATTTTTTAGTTTATTTAAGATATTCCTGGTATACTTAATGTAGTTTTCTTGCAATTTTTCCAATAAAAATCTGCCCATTGGCTATATCCTATGAATGCAACATTACAACAGACCTATTATTGCCCTGATATTTTCAATAAATTTGAAACTCACCTTTAAAGATTAGCCCGCAATATCAGAGTGTCGTGAAATTAAAGTTTTTGAGATGGCAGAGGAAAAATAGCTCTTACCAGTTGATATTTTTTTAATTCTATATACACATTCAGTGATGTACCTATCAAAACTGTTTATCAAGAACAGATTATGGACTCCACATCAACAGAATAACGAAGGATTGAACCCACCTCTGGACTCCCCAGGTCTTGCTTAAAATGTTCAGGGTTTTGTGTTTTTTATTTGTAGGCAATTGGACTCTAATTTTCTTTTACTTTATTTTTATAGACTGTGAAGGCTTTGAATTACTTGAAAGAGAAACTGAAAATAATCCACAGAGATGTGAAACCAAGCAATATTCTGTTGGACCGGCGTGGGAACGTCAAATTATGTGATTTCGGTATTTCAGGGCAACTAGTCGATTCCATCGCCAAAACCAGGGATGCTGGATGTAGACCTTACATGGCTGTGAGTTTCTTTTTTTTTTTTTTAGTTTTTTCCTCACTTTTAGTGAATTTTCTTTTCACCTTTGGATAACTGATCTGAGGTTGAATTTTAGTGAAAAATACTCTATGCCCGACGACAGGTTTGAGTTGTGTCAGGTAACCAATTCCCTTAAATGGATGAGTGTAATCACTGATAAGGGTGTCCAGGGACAAATATGCATTGAAAACTTTAACTTTACTTGTCATGAGACTTGGCAACAATGTTTTTGTTTATTTTTCTGAGGCAGGTTATTTTCCACCAGAGGATGTTACTCATCAACACTCATATTGAAAGAATAAGTAACATATCACGTTTACTAGTGGGAGTTTTTCTCTCTCGTACAATCATTTGGTTTAATTGTATATGTTACCGGCAAACCCCGTTTTTCAGGCAGACCTAGGTCTGCCTAGGCAAACCTAGGTCTGCCTAGGTAGACCTAGGTCTGCCAAGCACCTCGTTTGGCAAACCTAGGATTGCCTGAAAATTTTAGGCAGACCTAGGTTTGCCAAAAGTGATTTTAGGCAAACTAGGTTTGCCAAACGATTTTTTTGGCAAACCCCGTTTCTGATTTCTACCGCTAAAGTGACTTTACCGGAAAACTTTTTCTACCGCTAAAGTGACTTTACCGGAAAACTTTTCTACCGCTAAAGTGGCCTTACCGGAAAACTTTTTCTACCGCTAAAGTGACTTTACCGGAAAACTTTTTCTACCGCTAAAGTGACTTTACCGGAAAACTTTTTCTACCGCTAAAGTGACAGTACGAATTCAATGAGAAACAACTATTTATCCCCACGCAGACCGGGGCGAGCGGTGGTTTATTATAAAAGAATCACAGGTGAGGCTGAATAACAGTGTAACATAATATCACAAGTGCTTAAAACAGGGCACGAGAAATCTGAGTAGCAAAAAAAATTGGAAAAAAAATGCAAAATTTACAATTACAATTTGAAAAAAGATACAATTTGAAATCGTTACAGATTCCTTGTCACTTTTTTAACATAATATCATAATATCACAAGTGCTTAAAAAAGGGCATGAGGGAAAACGTTACACAATTGATGCAATTCGAAATCATTATAGATTTCTTGTCACTTTTTTATTTTTTAGAGGAAAAGTACATTCAAAGGAAATTTATTTATTGTTGCAGCTGAGGCTGGAGTGACATTTGGAGTTGCACAGTTTGCCATTTTTGCGGCACTTACACTGGTTTGAGGTGCAACCTTTTTTGCAGTTGCACCTGAGTATTTTTCCTATTTTCGCGCCTTGAGACAAGCTGTCCGCTGCATGTGCCGCTAAGTACAGTGAAAATCGTGGATCGGTAAGATAAGCAGCGACAGCTCGTAGGTAGGATTCTCGACTGCGAAATGAAAGGTCCACGGTTCGAGTGTGACTGGCGGCGCTTAATTTTTACATCGAATTTAAAAAAAAAAACAAAAAATTTACCGAACAAATTAGTGAGATAATCAATAATATTAAGTGACATAATAAAATTAAAATAAATCTGAGACCAACATAGTTCATTATTTTTTTAAAAATTACCATATAGAATACGTCAAGGCTCGTGCTATAAAAACAGAAAATAAACAGAAAAAAAAAAATTGATAAAAATAATGGTTAACTACGAAACTTACCAAGCTCTGCTTTCAACCGGTCTCGACCTCCGTGTCCAATAGCAGCATGAGTCGCTTCAATTGTTCCGTATACTTCCTCCAATGGAACAAAATACACAATGTCATCGGTTCCCGTTGCTTTCACCAACTTTTCTATACCCCCGATTTCAATAACATTAAACCGCCTAACACGTCTCTTCTGTTGGGGGGTTTTATTCCGAGCACTTCTCGCGGCTTTCACTTCATTTATCAGATCACTGTACTGTTCTCTGGGAATAACATGCAATTGGTTTTTTTCACTATCTTCATTTATAAAACTACGTAAAAAAAGTTCAAAATTAACGTTCGCGGTAGCCATGATTACTCCGTTGCACAAAAACAAAACACTGATCACTGTCCTCCGTGGACGCCGCGTTCCGCGAAGCGTGTTTGGTGCGCTACCGTTCGCACCTAATCCACAAGAATTTAATCTAATTGGAATGTCCACTGATAACGCCGCCGAATTTTTCTCACGAGTGCTTCCCTTGTTGCCAAGTAAGCGGTGAAAAAGTTTTCCGGTAAAGTCACTTTAGCGGTAGAAAAAGTTTTCCGGTAAAGTCACTTTAGCGGTAGAAAAAGTTTTCCGAAACGGGGTTTGCCAAAAAAATCGTTTGGCAAACCTAGTTTGCCTAAAATCACTTTTGGCAAACCTAGGTCTGCCTAAAATTTTCAGGCAANTTGTTTATTTTTCTGAGGCAGGTTATTTTCCACCAGAGGATGTTACTCATCAACACTCATATTGAAAGAATAAGTAACATATCACGTTTACTAGTGGGAGTTTTTCTCTCTCGTACAATCATTTGGTTTAATTGTATACTGATACTTCTCCAAATCCCCCCCCCCCTTCTTGGTGTGTTATTGTCTGATTTTGCGTTTTTCTTGAGATTAACAGTTGTAAAAAACAAAATAAAATCCCCAACTGCTGTTCCATGTTGTTTTCTTATACAGTATATTTTGTGTAACAGAGTCGTATTTTGTTCGAAACAACTAATTGTTTCTGTTTTTTTTCTTGTTTCTTTTGCGTGATTCTGAACAACCAATGAGAAAGCGAATTTCAATTTTAGGGTTGCTTCAGGGGTTCCCAAACTTTGCGTGCGAAAAAAGCCCTGCCCCCACAACACAAAACAACTTCGAACAAAATGCAATCATCGCTTGTTTTCCCAACATGTTTCGAGTGTTGCCTCCGAACAAAATCCGACTCGGGTACCTCAATTTTTAGTATCATTAAACGAGTTTTAGGGCTCTTTAAGAACACCCAGCCTTTTATTTTAGCCAAAAATAAATCATAAATCTTGGGGCAAACAATAATTTTAAGTTAAGGTTGTCAGTCACTGATTTATCATTTTGATTGGTTTGCTTTTGCTGCTAGAAATTTAGTACAGCATTAGTTGTGATATTGTGGTAAAGAGGTGTGAAAAACTGTGGTTGTTGCGCCTCTCTCCATGACACAAAAAAATTGTGAAGTTTTCATTACATAAGTCAACCCTTTTATTGTTTATTTATTTGTTTTATCCGTATATCCTCTTATTTTTTTTTTTTTTTTAAAAAAGATGAATTTCCATCCCTTCATTCTTATATTTTATTCATTGTTTCGACAGCCTGAGAGGATAGATCCGTACCGAGCAAGAGGCTATGATGTCCGTTCAGACGTATGGTCATTGGGCATAACTTTGATGGAGGTAGCCACTGGTCACTTTCCGTACCCCAAGTGGAACTCCGCATTTGAGCAGCTCTGCCAAGTCGTGCAAGGTGATCCGCCCAAGCTGACAACCAACTACGATGGGAATACTTTTTCGCAAGAGTTTGTCAACTTCATCAATACTTGGTAAGTTCAGTCCTACTCTAGAATGTATCAATCGCCAAAATGCCAACTATTTCTTGCTGTCAAGTATCCCTTTTTTAAGGCGTATTGTCTGAATTTCTTGAATTTTTCATAATGATCAGCTAGGAAAAAAGGTGGAAAAGTCTCTAGAATCTTTCAATCTGTGTACAAGAGAATCCTGATATCGCCTATATACATCTCTGGACTTATATGTGTGGTGGAAGTCTAAAAAGGGGAATTTCGATAATATTTTGAAATTATTGCTGTCATCTTCTTTCTTTTTTAAAAGAAAAGCAAATGGACATAATTAGAATTTTTAATTTGTAATTGAAGCGCTTCCAGCATATGCTCGGCTGTTTTACAGCTGACTGTTGCGTACGGTGATGTATCATCAGGGGAAAAGCAGCCAGTCTAACGAAGTGTAAGTTAACAAAAAACTTGGCCTTAAAATGTTTTAAAAATTCATGAAATTCCATAAATACCTATTCAGTAAAAGAGAGATAGAGACACAATAGCCCGAATGCAGACAACAATAAAAACACACTAAAATACAAAAACAAATGGGTATACAAGGCTAGAGAAGACATAAAACAACCAGGACGTTTCGGGCCAATTACATGCCCATTCTCAACTGGAACAGAAGCTAAAAAATGTAAAAACTAAAACGAGAAAATGAGCATGCAGAAAATCAGTACTGATTCCTACCTCGGTCAGTCGCATGCTCATTTTCTCGTTTTAATTTTTACATTTTTTAGCTTCTGTTCCAGTTGAGAATGGGCATGTAATTGGCCCGAAACGTCCTGGTTGTTTTATGTCTTCTCTAGCCTTGTATACCCATTTGTTTTTGTATTTTAGTGTGTTTTTATTGTTGTCCTATTCAGTAAATGCATGCAAAACTCGGACTTGTAGGCATGTTTACGCACTGCAGAAGCTTGGTCCAACCGAAAGAAAATAGGCAACTCTGCATCGGCAATAACATCTGACTATATTGGATACTGATGGCAAATGGTAGCCAAGTCTAGTCTGATGGAATCAAATTGAGTCTGCTCCCTTTATCTGTGACCATACATGGCAAAAATCAAAACATATCTCAAGCAAATTTCAGCGACTATAATTGGCTAATTTTGTGCATGTAATACATACGCACATCAAATCAATTCATGCTTGCTTGTTTCAGTTTAATCAAGGACGAACAACAGCGACCGAAATACAACAAATTGCTGGAGCACCCGTTTGTGAAACGCAGTGATAGTGCCATTGTTGATGTTGCTCAGTACGTAAGCCAAGTTCTGGATAACATGGCCAACGCAGGGGCCTCCATCTACACGATGGACCAGCCCTGATTTTGACTGTTTTATTTTCTATTAATTTTTTTGCATTCGCTATTCTTTTTGGTCTCTTTGTTGATTTTATCTTTTATGTTTTCCTGTATAATCAATTTGCTGATGATTTTAGGATCTTGTATTATATTTGTATAGTAGATTGTTGCCAATAAACTCATTTTACCAAAACGCTTATTACGGGTGTCATCGTCTATTAAATCACTACAAGAACTTTCCTCATTTGTTTATCTTGAAACACACAGGTGAACGCTTCATTCAATGCACTTAAGATTTTAAAATTATGTTACATTTAATGTCTACCTCTCTATGTCATAACTCTCTTCTGTCTCTTGTTACCAAAGGATGCAAAATTAAGTTTAATATTACTGAGAGTTTCATAAAATTTCTTGGAATTCCTAGGGGCTGATTGCATGTAGGGCATCAGCGACAAACATTTGGAAATTTGATGGAGAGCTCCATTTAAGTTTAACTCTTCATAGGGCACGCTTATTTATCTACATTTTTTCTTTATTTTTTGTTTTGCCCCAAAATTTGAGTGTTCCTTCAAGTTTTAATCCCCTGGCGTTTCATGTCCCTTTGAGTTTATAAAGAATATTTTAAGAAAGGTAGATTAGGTATTTTCAAAAATATTATTAATATTTCATCTAATTTGGAGATAATGGTGAACTACCAATAAATGGTTTGGAGGGCAAGGTGCATAAGTGCAGTTTTTACTTTTTCGAGAAATACATGTTTGAAGTTTTGAAATTACATGGATCCTCATGGCAGAAAGAAAGTTTAAATGGACTTTTTAATGCTTAAAAATTGAAACTTGGGAACAAATATGTCGCAGGATATGTATCAAGACTAGTTTTACTTGAAATCATTAGTAGCTCAATTTTTTCAAAAGCTGGACTTATGCGTCATGTCTTCCAAGCCCCTCAAATGGACTACTTACATTTTGTAATAATGAACTACTAATTCTGGCTCATTTTAGGAACAACGTGTGTGTCATTAGTTTCCCTATGCTGATAGGTGCTTTTGTGGAAATACCAGAAATACTAGTTTCTTACTGCTAGATCTAGGTTAAGGTGATTCGATGGACGCCATATTTTGTGTCAGAACGGCATGCAATATATCGCATCAATTGGTTCCATTTTCTCAACGTTACTCGTCATTTTTCTCCAATTTTGAGATGGCAAATCTGTTGTCAGGAGACTAAAGCACTCACCAATTTTAACAAAGAAATTCAACGTAATAAAGGCGTGGTTTTTTTAGAGAGTAAATATCGCCTTCGATACTGATATCGAAACTGCACTCGAATGCAATGTTTTCTCTCTAAAAAAACCACGCCTTTATTACGTTGAATTTCTTTGTTAAAATTGGTAATTGAGTGCTTTAGTCTCCTGACAACAGAATTGCGATCGCAAAATTGGAGAAAAATGACTAACTGGAATGACTAACTAAAAAAATGGAACCAATTGATGCGATATATCGCATGCTGTTCTGACACAAAATATGGCATCCATTGAATCACCGTAAGTAAGTATAGTCATTAATATTTTCTCTTGTGGACTTTCTTGGCTTTGCTCCTGATAATCTCTGTGGCAGGAGCCACCGAAACATGAGGAAAGTATTAATATCAAAAGTCGAGGGATCATTGGGTCAGTGCTCCCATCTTTTAAAATTCATTTTTCGGAAGCAAAGAGTGTCCTACGCTTCTAGGGATTTTTCTCGATTTTTGAAACCCTGGCAAGTGAGACCCGCCTTTAAATGCCAAAATTGGGACCAGTTTGAAACGATATTTTTGGCGGTCTCTATTGACGTAGCCGGGGGGGGGGAGAGGGGGACCCACTCGTCTTTCGTCAACTCGACTGTCGACTACTTGTGATTGCTCGGATGTTGAACAGCTTTCTCCTCCTACACAAATGCTTCTTTTCTTTTTAATAGAATTTTCAGTTTTTCAACGATCATTTAAATATGAGGAAGAGGAATTTCACCGTAACCAGGGACGAGTTCTATAGGACGCCGTTCTGTTGTGAGCGGGTGATTGCAGCGCATTCTCGCGTAGGATCCTAGTCAACTCAGAGGATCCTTCCCCCCGAACCTCGACTCATCCATCGCCCGCTCCAAAAGTGAGGTTAAGCTGGAGATTGAAAAATAACACAAAAGGCGGCTGAATTCTTGAAAAATAAGTATATTTTTGGCGTTTTTCGACCCCTTTCGACAAGGAAGGGCCCGCCGCATGTAATAATACGGTGAAAAATTCGATTTTTTGCAGTTATACGCGATCCTACGGATTTTAATGAAGTCCAACAACTGATAACAGCAGTGAGTTGCGAGGATCCTACGCGAGAATGCAGCACTAGTACCTGCTCACGAATTTTTACATTGACTCTTACGGGAGTCCAGGGTCCTATAGAACTGGTCCCTGCCGTAACCCCGTAAGTACATATTCCTCCCTCCTCCTCTATCGAAGGAGAAGAACTTTCATTGGTTCAACCTCTCTACGTCATTGATACGACCGTCGTGGATTGGTCGGCCATTCCGCCACCTGTTGTATTATTGTTTTGTTTATGCTTCATTGTTTACATTGAAATGCAAGTTACCGCATCGCATCATGTTACTTACCGTAGCAGGTGGATAATATTATGAATTGTGAGGGAATTTTATTACACGTGGTGTCAATATCATCATCATGTATACCAGTCAGTACCCTGAGTCTAAGGATTGTCATTCGACAGAAGTAAGTAAAACCGTCACTTTTAAGAATCTCTTTCACATGTCTTTAGCTTGCGCCAGATGAAAATACCCTTTTAAATGAAATATCAGTTCAAATGCTGATGCACCATTGCAGGTGATCTTATGTAAGGAAGGGGCATTCCTATCCTTTAATGAATGGCTCAGCTTAAATTGATTAATGAACTGCTCACACTTTTCATTCTCAACCACGCCTCTGAAAGCTGTTTAAGAATGTGCATTGAAAACCATCTCTAGCGCAAGCATCAACTCACATTTATAATGGGATAAACAGATACCTATCAAGGATGCAGATAACAGAGCTTTACAGATTGCTTATTTCAACGCTCGCCAATAATGAGATACTAGAGCTGCACTGAAGGCATGCCAAATGAGTTTACGCACTCTCAGACTGTCAGACAATCCGCCACCTTATTGATTTCTCCACTTCCTTTGTGAAGTGAACATCAGACGATCCTCTGTCGCATAGAAGTGCATAAACTTATCCGGTGTCGACTCTTATACTATCTAGATTGTGCATATAGCTCTTTAGATAAGATGCTAGGTAAGTAACAAGAATTGCAAGTATTACCTAAATTTTGAGGCATCAGCGATGTTAACCAGATAAAGATGCAAAGTGAGAACTTTTTTTGTAGAAACGGGTTCTATCAGTGTTCTCCATTGTAATACGCTTACTAGAGCCCACACTACATAAGTTCTCCCACTTCTAGACTGCGACGGAAAATTGCCTAGAGTTACTTTAACATGTAAAGTGAATGGAAGAATCAAGATGGTAGATGTTCTGTTGGAATCTAAAAGTGCATGGACTCTATTGGCACACAAGCTGGGCTCTTTGCAAGTGTACCTACTTGTAGTGAAATTGTTATCTTGGATTTTGTAGTCAACTTTGGATTTATAAATGAAAAAAGAAAATGTCGATTGTGAAACTAGATAAACACAATTTTATGTAAATTGTAGTTTTTAAGAGTTTCTACCAATACCAAAATTAAATTTGTGGAAAATTATTTAAAGCTATTTCTCAGTGCTTGATCTCTGCAGAAAATATTCTAAAAAAGGCCAAAAAAATAGAGAAAGAAACTGATTGCAATTTTATGCAGTGGCGCTGACAGAGCATAGAGATCCACGATCCCAGTCAATACTTAAGCACTTTAGAGCAATTCAGTGGACGATTTAGACATCTCAATTTAAAAACTCAGACATCAGATCTTTTTTATCTCATGCCTGATTGGCCAACTCACTTGCTTAATACTCCATGGAAAAATCAGCGTCGATTGATGGAACTTGAGAAAAGAAAAATGGAATTTAAGAGGTTGAAAGATTGGCGTAGCCATGTTTTTTGGTCAGTTTTGGTTGTGTAATGGAAAGTGAAAGTACTTTTAATAGGCCATTTTTTAACATAAAGCGACTCCTCAGTGTCACGCCATCTTCAATTTCAAGGACTATCAATTTAACAGTAATAATTGCAGTTTCCTCTTTCAAATTACAGATGTCACTCACTACCCTTGATGAGCTAATCTTAGCTAGGAGCGTATCTCAAATGAGTGTCAGCATCCCAACGCCTTCAAGTATCAACAACAGAGCTGCACCAGCTCTGCCGTCTGGTGCACATCTTCGAAGTGCTGGTAGGGGCAAGGTCATGTCTTTATACATCTCTACCCTCCTCCAGGAAAGCTGTGGCAGTGCGCTCGATGATTTGAATGAGGACTGCTCTTCAGAGGTGAGCGATTCAACACTTATTGATTGCAGCACCACTATAGCAGATCAGGAGGTAGAAGCAGTTTTTAGTCAGAGTCCATCAGACGATGCCTGCTGTAATATTACTGTCGATAGCCAATTAAGTACATGTAACTCCGTCTTTGAAGACTGCCTCTCCCAGGTTAGCGATTCAACCATTGATGATGGTAGCACTGTCATCGTTGAACAGGAGATACAAGCTGTTTTTAGTAGGAGTCCTTTGCTAAGCCCCGCCTGCAGTGATATTACTGTCGATAGCCAATTAAGTACAAGTAGCTCAGTCTTCGAAGACTGCCTCTCTCAGGTTAGCGATTCAACAATCGATGATGGTAGCACTGTCATCGTTGAACAGGAGATACAAGCTGTTTTTAGTAGAAGTCCTCTATCAAGCCCCGCCTGGAGTGATATTACTGTTAACTCTAGCCAATTAAGTTCGCCTAATCACTCTAATTATAACAATTATCCTTGCAACCGCGGCTCTTTCGTGCAAAATCCGAACAATTATAAAAGAGGAAATTCTCGAAATTCTAGCATTAATCAGAACCAAACCAGTCACTTTAATGAACAGAAGGTTAGAGGAAATGGTAGTTATTCTGCTGGTAGAGGTTCTCACAAAAATGTGAATGGCATTCAGTGTGAGGATTCGCTCTGTTTCCCAAATCGTTCAGATTTCCCTAGAAATCATGGAGCACCCCAACAAAATCGAAACACCTTCCGCCAGGAAAAGTTTCAACATCCTGATTTCAATCAAAAGTACAAGAATGATGATGTTCAAAATGTAAACTCCTGGCATTATCAGAATCATTTAGATTTCCCTAGGAACTGTGGACAACTCCAAGAAAATCAAAATATTTGTAGGTACCAAGATAGAAAATTGCAATATCCCAGTCCAAACCAGAGGAACTTCCCCAGTCAAAATTTAGCGAGAGGTAGTGGTAGTCATTTTGCTGGCAGGGCTTTTCCCAAGAATGTAGAGACAAATGACTTTCAAAATGTGAATGTACACCGTTTTCCAAATCCCTCAGCTTTTCCTAGAAATCATGAAGCACCCCAACATAATCAAAACACTGTTCGACAGGAAAAATCTCAACATCCTGGTTTCAATCAAATGCAGTCCCATAACTTTAATTATGAGAGTAACAAAGCCAATCGTAGTCATTCTGCTGGCAAATATTCATACAAGAATGATGATGTTCAAAATGTAAACTCAAGGCATTATCAGAATCATTTAGATTTCCCTAGGAACTGTGGAAAACTCCAGGAAAATCAAAATATTTGCAGGTACCAAGATGGAAAATTGCAATATCCCAGTCCAAACCAGAGGAACTTCCTCAGTCAAAATTTAGCAAGAGGTAGTGGCAGTCAATCTGCTGGCAGAGCTTTTCCCGATAATGTAGAGTTAAATGACATTCAAAATGTGAATGTACACTGTTATCCTAGTTACACAGCTTTTCCTAGAAATTGTGGAGCACCCCAACATAATCAAAACACCCTTTGTCAGGAAAAATCTCAATATCAAAATTTAGCAAGAGGTATGGGCAGGCAATCTGCTAACAGAAGTTTCAATAAAAACAAAGAGGTAGATGACCTTCAAAATGTAAATACGCTCCGTTTTCCAAATCACACAGCTTTTCCTGGCAATCGTGGACCACCCACACAAAATCAAACAAGTTTTCAGCGGGAAAAATCTGAATATTCTGGTTTCAATCAAAACCAGACCAGAGGAAGCAAGTCAGTCAATTTGGGACATCCAAGAAAAGGGGTAAGCTCTCCGAAGCCCAAAAAACAGTCAGTTGGTAGAGGAAAACTGTTAAGTCAGATAGAATTTACGGAGCCATCATTTGGCATCTCAGTAAGCCCGCCGCCCTCTAGGAGCCCTGATGACAATTTTCAGCCAACTTATGGGAATTTGTTCCGTTCGCTATTTTTCAATCCCTTTGAAAAACTAAGAGCCATCGGGCCAGTGCAAGGTTCCCTTCTCGGTTACGACACACAGGACAATTAAAATTGCTTATACTAATTGGGTTTTTGGATTGTATTTTCGCTCAGGAAATTTTCTTATGGTCCACACTTGAAAACTTTGGAAATAATGTTATCTCTCATCTGTCTCTATTATTTCATTCCCGACCTCTTAAAGTTCGACTTGGATCCTCCATGGTTGCGAACCTTTATGGGGAGCATCTGAGTGCTTTGAATGGTTTTGTATAGTTCAATATATCTACTAACTTGTCAGCGATTTCTTTCCATGCACTGGTAATGGTGCTTCAATCATTCCCCAGATAAACAAATTCTACAGCCATTTTTCCGTAATTACAACAATAGGTAGGCACTTTTTCATTTATAGCCTTAATCAACCCACAGTTTCACATAAGTTGAAAAATTCAGAAATTTCCTCTGGAAGTTACTTATTTCATAAGTTTTTAATTTGTGATATGTATAAAAATAGTCGACTTCTTCCTTGTTTTAATATGTAATCTTAGAGTTACTTTTATTTTATCAAAACAAGCATTTTTCAATGTTTCCTTAAAATTTGTAGGGAGCCAACTTCACAAAGCAAAGAGAAAAAAATCAGATTCAAGATCCTCAATGTCTCCCGTTCACTATTTCTCGCTCTTTTAAGAAAATTTAAACATGATAGAAAGTCTGAGAAGTTTTTGAACAAAATTTTAAAATTAAGCATTGGCTGAGCTGACTTTTTTTTACAATCTTAGTCGAGAAACGCAATCATACCGATCACAGCCATATTTTTACATTAGTTTTATTTACTTGTATTTATTTGGTTGCATGTTATCCTCGAAAAGCTTGTTTTGTCCTGGAAAGAGTCAAAGGTCATATCATCTAATTTGCCATTGAAGAGACTACCATTGGTGTTGTTGATAACTCCCTCCTCTTTTTTAAAATTTATTTTTATTTATTTATTTACTTACTTATTTGTTTTTTTTCTGCGTAAATAATTGCATTTTTCAAATTTTATGACAAAGTATTGTATGTACTTAAGTTATCCTGATTGTGCATTTTTTTGGGTCAATTTCTTATTGAATTATTCTTATGTAGAGAAACAAGTATATATGGGGAAAGAATTTAAATTAATACTGATTATTGTTCTTGTTAATTGCTTTTCCAATGAAAAAATTTAATGGAAAAACTTCAAAGTTTGGTAGTACCTTTGATGAAAAGATTTTGAAGTTGAGAAGTATGATGTGTAATTCAGTTGCATTTTAAGTGAAAGATTTTTTGTAATATTTTGATTGGAAGTGCCACTTCCCTCATCGCATGTATGATATGATTGAAAATTTTTGAAGGTACAAATTTAGATTTATATAGTTTAACCAATACCTGAGCACCTGGTCGTCAGTCAACTTTTTGTTGGAAAGTTCTGTCTCACTCATCAGGGTTCTATTTCCACTTATGTCATGATTTACACATCAATAGATATTTTTACAAATGACCTAATCACAGTCTATTTTGTAGGCTAAAGATAAAATTGTTGTTCATTTTCATCTGAAAATTTCGATCTTTTATGGTGAGTTTATTTTTTGAGCCATCATTCATCTGGGGGCGGGATTTTTGTAATGCTTTCAGCTGCTCCTCTTAATCTATTGTCCATCCTTTAGTAGCATTGTAAGCACTGTATAATGCTTAATTTTACCGATTTAATTTTTTAATTTTTTTTTGTTTGTTTTTATCTTGGTTCTGTGTTTTGTGTATGTGTTTTTAAATGAATCAGTGAGAACGAAAACATACCAACTCGGGAAAATGAAAATAATCAAGACACACGCAAAACTACTCAGAAGGTGAAGAAGTTAGTTTAAGGAAAAGATTTTTGCTTCCGAAAGACAAGTACTCATGGACACTTTAAAAGTCCAAGATGGAACAGATGCGCTAACTTCAATGACTTTTATGTAAATTAACTGTTTTCAATGAATATTGATCATTTTAGAGTTAACGAGTTGGTGTGTTTTCGTACTCATTGATTCAAATCTTTTGTTAAGTACAACTTCAACACCCGGTAATGTACCTGCTGAATAAATTTATTATACTCATCATAGTTACGCATATGTTAAAATTAAAGTTCTTATGTGGAATGACAGTTTTCTGCATAGATACTTGCTAATCATTTTGATTTTTTGTGGGCTTAGGAAATAATGGTTGTACCTCTTAAACTGCTAGGAAAGAGCCTAAAATTGAAGCTGCTGTGAACTGCAGTTTTCAATAAAGCACCTGTTTTCCAGCAAAAGAACCTCAGGGCAAACCTGTGATCTCGTAATGAGGCTTTGGCCAATACTTAAGTTACCTACCGAGCTTGCCTTCTTTTCTTAATTTTGTTGTATTTTAATCAAGAAGACTGCAACAACGCAATTTATTAATTGGAGTTTTCCACTTCGGATCAAGCATGTTTATAATTTTTGAATAAACTTATATGTTCCTAATTTAAATGACTTTTGTACCATTTTCCTTTGAAACGACTCACTTTTACCTGTCTAACCACATAATGCTCTGAAAGTCCTTGCTGACACAGATCTCATCTCCGTTCAAGTTCACAGAAAAACTTTTTTTTTTTTTTTTGCCATGGTCGCTCCTCCATTTTGAAGTATGTAAACACTTGGTCATTATTTTAAATTTCTAAATGATCTTAAATTTATTTTTGACCAATTTCGCTTCAATTTTTGAATATTATTTGTGAAATATACCCAGCTGCTTAATTGCGATTATTTCGCTCCAGTCTCTACTTTTGAAAGCTCTATTACATCGAAAAGCAGCCCTAGGAAGAAATTATCTCCAGGTATCGAAAACAGTGAGAACACTTGACGCTCTGAATGAGTTCGTCATTAACGTGGAACAGTGGCGAGGCTTGAATGATCGATTACCGATATTTCCCCTTTTGAAGCTATGGTAAAGAATCGATTATTAAGGTGTCCGGTGCAAACACCCTGTTTATCGATCCTTTTCTATAGGTTTAAATGGCAGATCAATCGATATATGGCAAAGCACGCCTGACCTCTGGAAATACCTCTGAGATTTCGCTCATTGTACGTCGGTGCGATGCCTCAAGAAATTTTCAAAGAGTCCGAATATATTCTTAGACAACCTAGACCGGAAAAGTCTGAGTAGTATGTTCCACTAAATGAAAGGGTATCGACATCTCTTTCTCCGTGTCTCTTAAATTATATTTTGTGACGAAGGTAGAAAATTAAGTGCCACGGTTTATGACGTCGAAAAATTTCTGCAACATTTTATCCTAATGAAGGATTTTTGATGAAATTCATGTCCCGAAATCGCACATAATTTTTCCTCTGGTATCTCAGAACCATCATTAAACATTTAAGTAATAAAATCGTTGATTTTATAAAAAAAATTTTGATAAAATCTAGCGAGAGCGGAGATTTTTAAAAAATTACGAAAGAAATATTTACTTGTATCCCTATTGTCAGCATCAATTGGATCGCAGTCAGTAAAAAGGACCCAGCGCGATTGCAAAGTTTTCACAATCCTGCAACTTTCTCTTTTCTTTTAAAAAAACTTTATGTATGCACATTATTAAAATTTACACCCTTTATTTCCTTCTAAAATTAACACATTTTTGGTGGGAAGAAAAAAGGATTCGCTATTCTGGGAGATTTTTTTAGATAATCACTAAGAAGCAACATTTTGACAACACTGTAACCAGGCTGGCTCCCTTTTGCTAAATGCGATGCAATTAGTATATTAATCCGTGGCAAAACGTATGTGGAAACTTTTTCACAACGTTATTCTTGAAAATAACGTTTGAGCAACGTTTTTGCAGGTTTTGCGGGGCGTTGTCCTCAAACCAAAAGCTCATTTTGAAACCACCCGTGGGGTATTAGTCATACTGTATGACACCCCCCCCCTCTCCAAAAAAAACCCCCGAAGCTGGACTGCATTACGCAATAGAGAACTACATTACGAGCAATCAAATTTTTTATCGCATCATTTGTCAGTATTAAAATTACGGAACGATTATTAGTCTCGGTTTGCGGCGTTGAAAATTTCCACTCCATTTTTATTGCGAGCGGAATCTGTACGTTTCTCTTGAAGGGTAAGCACCGCTGTTTTACCCATAGCACCAAAATAAGATAAGTACAATCTTATACAGGTCGGAGATTCTCTCGAAGAAAATATACACGTAGGTCAGGAAGTCTGCAAGTCCGGAATTTCCGGAAAGTCCGGAAATAGTACTGATTCTTTAAAGGCGGTCGGGAAGTACTGAAAAAGTGCGGAAATTCCGCAAGGAGGTCCGGATTTTTTTTTTCATTTCTGAGCGAGAAATTCAAATTTTTGAAAATTTTCGAATTTCGTCAAATGGGGGCACTGAAAAAGTACTGAATTTTTCTAATGAGGAGGTACTGAATTTTTTGGGATATCACTAAAAGAGTACTGTAAAAGTACTGATTTTTGGCTAGCCTGTTTTAGTAGACACCTGTAGGTAGAAAAATAAAATGATTCGGGGGAAAATATTTACAATGTAATCGAGCTCTTCTTTCCCTTCGATCTGCTATAATCTTAACGTAAAGGTTGAGTCAATGAAGAGCTGTTACTAACCAACCGAAGCTTTCACTTCCTTGGTTAGTAATTTCACTTAAGCTCTCCTTGTGATTCATGAAGAGGACCCAGCCAACCAGTATCATTTTGCACAAAGTTTCGTTCGCTGCCAATTACTGATAAAATTAATTCAGAGGCAATAAATTACTCCATAAAACACTCCCTCTCCCTTTCTCCTGTGGGGCACTTTTAATGAACGGAAGAGAAAAGCGGAAACACAGCATCTCCTGCAACCGCTTGAGGAGTGCAGACGCGTCGCAAGATGCGCCTTCTTTTCCTCGGATAGGCCAAAACACCCTCACAGGCGTTAAAATAGTTGTATGCCGCCGAGTGTTTGTGTCAACGCTTTAAATGCTAAGGTAGAGGATCAATAAATTGGACGGTGATTAACCGAAAATAGTCTAATCAACTCGACGTGACTTTTTCTTTCTTTTTTTAAAAAAAAAAAAATACAATTTGCCGTCAAGTTGTCATCTTATTATACCCCTATTCCCAAAATTGACTCTAACCCTCTATTTTTCAGACTCTTTTTCGTATCTTGTTGTTTACGATGTTTACGTGTATTTAATGAAGGGAATATGTGAAAAAATCCACCAGTGCAACTAATCAAAATCCATGACAATTATGCACAGGTTTCATAAGTTGGTGTGTCGCCTCTAGAGAAATCGCCGCTGATGATTCAATCGCCGAAATCCAAGATTTTGCAAGGATCGTAGAGCAATCGCGTAAATGAATGCACAGATGGTTTTTATTTATAAAATTTATATCGAACTCGATTAATCCTTTAGAATAGGTATCTATCTAACCCTTCTTTTTCTATCCTATCCACATACGTCTAATCGGTTGTTGATTCCCAAGTCTCTAGAAAGGAATTAAAGCAAAAAAATGTAAAAAAAAAGGTAAAAAAAAAATTTAAAAAAGGGGGAATTAGCGGTTTTGCACTTAGACAATCGATATGCTCCATATTGACGTCATCGATCTAACACACGATTGGTATCATTTATTCCGCTCGCAAGAGCCGATTGGTCGGGAGGAGGCTGTGACGTGACGTCACAGCTAGATCCGTCTATATGGGACACCACGCCGGCAAGGAACGCCAGAACTCTGGGAGAAAAGAAAAACGAGAAACGCGAGAGGTCAAGGTTGAGAGCACGAAATTCGGAAGGAAAACACGTCTAAAACGCGCGGTTATTCTTTTTTATTTTTGTTCGTGTCTTTTTTTTTTCGCCTTCCACGATCCGCGTTGAGCCGAACGCGGGTTTAGCGCATGCCCCCGTGGTGGGGGCCCCCGGCTGATGGTGCGGAGCGCGACACACAGTGGGTTAGAATTGGCGCGTCCAGGACCGGGGAAAACCGGGATTTATCAGGGAATGAAGGATTTTACGAAAAAATCGTGTTCCAGAAACCGGAAATCTCATCTTACACCGTCAAGGGTATATCAGGGTGTCTGTGCTAGTCCGAAAAGTCCGGAAATAGTTCCTACTGATTTTTTAAGGGCGGTCCGGAAGGACTGGAAAAAGTGCGGCAACGCTGCAAGAAGGTCAGGAATTTTTTCCTTCATACCACGCGTGTTTTTTTTTAATAAAGCCTGGAAAGTATGCAATCCCCTGCGCATTGATTTTAGAGTAGTGTTTGCCTGCAAGATTTCGATTGTACAGTCAGTTGATCTTCAAGCCACCAATGAAATTTTGTGACTGTGTCATTTTTGTAAAAATGCGAGCGAGAATTTCAAATTTCCGAAATTTTTTTAATTTCGTCAACTGGAGATATTGGAAAAGTACTGAATTTTTCTGTTGAGGAGGTACTATATTTCTTGCATAGCCTAGAATTCTAGACACCATATTGGTAAAAATCAGCCCGAAAAAAGCAAATATCGGGGATGCGGAGCATATTTTAATATCACTAAAATTTAAATTTCACTTGAAACTGTCGGGGAAAACGCAACCCCTTTATGCCTGGGAGCGCCGTTTAGCTGTTTATCTTAAAAAAATCACCGTTATAAAATCTAAATTCAAGTTAAAAGACCTACCTATCTAAACACAAAAAAATTCCGTTTGATTCGAATGTAATATTTTGCGTTCGGATTATTTTAGCATTAATCAAAGGTTTGCAAAAAAATATATTTTAGGGATGACCCAGCTGAAAAAAGCTTACAGGAGCTATAGAATCGCTGAAGCTATAGATCGAGTTTTTGCCTAAAATTCTCGGTGAAACCAGTATTTTAGCAAAATGTTCCGATATCTCGATAGTTTTCTCACTCCCGAAGTAGTTTTACCTTAAAGACGCCCCAATTAAAGCAGGCTTTAAACATGTTTGAACGGAAAATCCGTCCCGCCGAGCGTTAGTTATCAAAATGAATCTACATTTTAAATTGGCATAGAAAAAATATTGACAAGAATTGTTAAAACAAAATCTGGCATAAATGACAAATTTTCTCCAAATTATCCTAAAACGACGACTTGTCATGGTAAAAAAAAATACTTCCAAGAATCGCAAAGAAACTAGCAGCATGACTGACGTGCGGTCAATTTATCGTTGGCAGCAGTTCAACTGATGACTTCCAAGTAGGGTAAAATGCACACCATTTGCAGATTTTCACACATTGCTTCAAACGTTTACCGGTCCGTGAAAGTTGTAAATGTTATGCAAAGACATTGGTTCTTTTACTTTTCAACATGGATTCAAACTGTGATAAGAGAGGTCGTTTTCGGAAAAATCATGTGGTTAATTTGCCAATGTGTCTATTCCCCAGAGAACTCATTAGATCGATATATGGGACGTGACTTCATCCAACCAAATTGGAAAGCTACAGTCTAAAGTGTGAAGTGTGATTCTGTATTCGAAGCATCTAGAGCAAGCATAAACTGTCCTTAAGATTTGAAAATTAAGAAATACCTGAATAAAACGAGTAAATCATTCTTAATATCAATGATGAGAAAAAAGTGTGCTCTGTTTGAGTCTTAGTAGGTGTCAACGCAACCTAACATAACGTAATAGATTTGTAAGTATATAATCATCAATAGAGGCTCTTTAACCCCCCAATGTCTATGTTTGTCTTGAGTCGTTTTCGTACCTATTATCATGGGTTTAGTGAAGCCTGTGAAGCGAGAGAAATGTGTGTTTTTTTAATAGATTTGCGTTCTCTGGTACGTCTGGATCTGCGTGTCTGCGTATTGTATGCAGCAAAATTGAAGGGGAACTTCAGATGCGGATGATTCCTACCAGTGGGTTAACAACATCGTTTATCGGTTCAATTAAAACTTATGGGGCAAAAAAAAATGTGTTTTTCGAATAGGTGGTCGAATAGGTGGCACTCATAGGTTCCAGTATGTGTTATTTTCGTGCTCCCTAGTATGTTTGTTGCATATTCTTAGAAATTGAAGGCGCGATTCAAGAAGATGATATCTACCAACAGAATCACAACCAATGAATTCCTACCAATGGGTTAACAACATCGTTTATTGGTTCATTCGCAACTTATGGGGCGGTAGAAATATGTGTTTTTTGAATAGGAATTCGTGATCCTTGGTATGTTTGTTGCCTATTCGTGGAATTTGAAGGCGCGATTCAAGATGATTAGGTATATCTACCAACAGAATCACACCTCGTTCATTGGTGCAGTTCAAGCACCCAGCGGAATGATCAAGTTTTAGAATAGCTTGCCATTGGTGCTCCCTAGTAGGTTCGATAGCCATCGTTATTCTTTATTTTCACTCCCCTCTTCTTCCTCATGTTTTTTCTTACCTCTTTACCTTTCGCCCTCTTCATGATGGCACCTGGCGCATCCACTCCTCATGCTTCACTCTTAATCCGACACTGTATGTATTCTCTGGGCTAATAATATTAAAATTAATAAACCAGACTATAGACAAAGAAGACATAGGAAGCATGAAGCTACTTCCGGTTGAAAGGGGTAGTTCCCACAGACTAAGGAAGAAAATGATGGACTCATGTAGGTTGCCGTTAGTTAGTCTATTACCCTCCTCCTTTGTCCATTGCAACTACTCTCTTCCACCAATAGGATCTCTCCGCATCCCATTTGTCTTCATTGTCTATAGCTTTTTGCAAACTTATGCGATGAAATCGCAATTTATCGCATTTTTTTTTTATCCGATGATAGTGCAATATAGCGACGTCGATCATAAAATCGCGATACATGCTCCAATCAAATCGCAACTTATCGCGATCGCTGCTATTGGGTCGGAGTGTTTGGCCGCTGTATGGACTCCGGACTCCGGTACAGAGTTTTACTTCGAAATGTTCAGCAATGCAGGATCTCCAAAAAAAGGCGGAAAGGAGGGTCTACCTCTACTGGTAAGACGGTCCTGTAGGAACCAATTAGATTTCAGTGGGGGGACCGATCAGGTTCCTATGGGTGTCCAATGGGGACGAATAGGTGGTTCATAGCATCTGTAGGAGCCTATGGGGACCCAATGGGATCCATGAAATTGCAAAGGGTCTCGGTGGGAACCATCACGAATTGCCAGTGGGGACCCGTTGGTCCGCACCAGAGACAAAAGACCCTCCACTAGTATCTCGGCCATTGTTGAAGCTTTTACTTTCGGGATTTCAGCATTCTACTGTTAACTTACCTACATTGTTGATGTTCAACAACGTGTTGGCAGTTTTGTTTTGCAAACAAGCCAAAAATGGCCGACGTTTGGGACACTTGTTTGGCCCATGGCGTCACCCGAAGCTCATCATCGACCATTTAGGTAGGTCAACAGCCGAAATTAGGGTGCTGCCTGTTGCTTCCTAATAATTGTCCATAAAAAATTGTTGAAACCCCAAAAGTAAAAGCTCCCACCTGTCGCCAGGAGGCCAGTGGAGGGTCTCTTGTCTCTGGTCCGCACGGGTTCCAATGGGAATTTCTCTGCGGGTTCCCATAGGACCATTTTACCAGGGTATAATCCCTAAAGCCCTGAACACCTCGCCTGCGCCGTCACCCGAAGAAATTTCTGCCGAAGGTCTCAATCTGAGGTCCCTTGTCCGAGAATCGGCACGTGTAGTTCCCGTGTCCGACCCGGGGGCTTAGAGCGGGGGTGTGGAGCGCGGCGCGGGATAAATTTAGCCGGACGGCGCGCGGGCCGCCGCCACCGCCGCTGGAAACCGTGCGATCAGAGTCCCGGTTAATATTGTATTTTTAACCGTTGATTACGTGATTTCGCGGCGGGTAGTGACGACACTGGATGTAACTCCAACGGACCCTGACCCAATGACAACATGACCGTTATCACAGGTACGTGGATCCTTCGCACATCAACCCTATCCTGCTACCACCCCCGACGCCCCCGATTTGAGTCCGCTGTCTCCAGTCGGAGCGCGAGGCCAGGTCCCGCCCCCCTGATCTGCCCCCGCTCCCTCTCCACGAGTGCTGACCTGCATCACTGATAAGCGTGTTTGACGCATTCTAATCAAGGTATCCGATACTCGTTCATCTTAAGTGGTCTCAGCCTCTGGGCCTTGAGGCGATCTCATTCGATTATGTATTGGTAGAGAGGCGCGCCGGCAAAATTTCTGGAAATTTGAAATAATGGAATTTCACCTAAATTATAGGTTCTCGCGAAAATTTCGTGATTAGCGTGTTTGGCGTATTCTTATCAAGATATCGGTATTCGTCTATCTTAAGTGGTCTCAGCCTCTAGGCCTTGATGCGATCTCATTCCATTATGTACTGCCAGGTGGTCGGCAAAATTTCATGGAATTTCACCTAAAATAAAGGTTCTCGCGGAAATTTCGTGATAAGCATGTTTGGTGCATTCCGATCAAGATAACCGATACTCGTCCATCTTAAGTGGTCTCAGCCGCTGGGCCTTGATGTGATCTCATTCCGTTATGTATTGCCAGGGTGGCCGACAAAATTTCATGAGATTTAAAATCATGGAATTTCACTTAAAATATAGGTTCTCGCGAAAATTTCGTGATTAGCGTGTTTGGCTTATTCTTATCAAGGTATCCGGTATTCGTCTATCTTAAGTGGTCTCAGCCTCTGAGCCTTGAGGCGATCTCATTCTGTTACATATTGCCAGGGTGGCCGGCAAAATTTCATGAGATTTAAAATCATAGAATTTCACCTAAAATATAGGTTCTCGCGGAAATTTCGTGATAAGCGTGTTTGGCTTATTCTTATCAAGGTATCCGGTATTCGTCTATCTTAAGTGGTCTCAGCCTCTGAGCCTTGAGGCGATCTCATTCTGTTACATATTGCCAGGGTGGCCGGCAAAATTTCATGAGATTTAAAATCATGGAATTTCACCTAAAATATAGGTTCTCGCGGAAATTTCGTGATAAGCGTGTTTGGCGCATTCTAATCAAGATATCTGATATTCGTCCATCCTAAGTGGTCTCGGCCTCTGGACCTTGAGGCGATCACATTTCGTTACGTATTGCAAGGGTTGCCGGCAAAATTTCATGAAATTTCAGCTTTAGTGTCTTTCTCCCATCTCCCCTTCTCTCAAGTAACTTGTATCTTTGATGCACGCACCTAAGTTGGGTTCAAATCAGAATAACGATATGATACCAGAATGAGGAGCTCATGCACACTTATTTTGTAGTGGGAATGAAGCATCTGACCAGAAAAAGCCAGTTTTGCCGGCTCTTCATTATTTCAAATTAATGAGTTTGATTATACAGTTTTTACCTATAATTGATATTAATACACTAAATAACCTTTTAAGTAAGTGAGTGCATCCATATAAACTTACTGGCATCGCTTTTTTGTCACGCAATTAAGTTAGTTATTCCGGTAGTTTAGTTAGTTGGTCAGTTAGTTAGTTAGTTAGTTAGTTAGCTAGATCGTTAGTTAGTTAGTTAGTCAGTTAGTTAGTTAGTTAGGTTGTTAGTTAGTTACCGTAATAAGAGGCATTTAGCATCTTAGGCTATTAATGCGTCTTTATAGAAAATATGAGAGTGAGTGTATAATGAGTCAGAGTTATGGTTTACACGTGTAACAGTTACCCCTTAAAAAAATTTCATGTCTCTAAAAATTGTTTGGAGGAAATGAAGTTGTTTGGTTGATAAAAAATGTTCAATCCCAAAACCGAGTCAACAGTTTCTGTACCAGGAACCAATATTAAGTTATTAAACCGATATTAAACTATTTAACTGATATTAAGATTAAACTAAGTGATGATGTGAATTTTGACACATCTCAGAAACGGTGCCAAAATCTTATTCCTGTATCCACCAACGCCGCGCCGCCATTTGGATGTTAACTTATCTGACTGCTCCTGAAAGGCAGTTTCAAGTGTGCGACGAAAATATTTCATATTCAATATTTAGTGAAGAAAAATGTCTCGAGATTACGAATTTTGATCGTTAACTTGAGGGGAGGGGGTAAGAGGAGATAGCATCTTTTTTCGATGGTATGTGCGAAATTAACGAAGTCAGTAGTGAGGCGTGAATGATAGATTATCGATTTCCCTATCTAAAACTATGGCAAAGAATCGATTATTAAGGTGTTCATCGCGAACACCCTGTTTATCGATCCTTTTCCATCGGTTTAAATGGCAGATCAATCGGTATATCGCAAAGCACGCCACGCTATTGGCTGATATCACTAAATGACATCGGTATAATTTGAATTGAGCTAATAACAGAGAAAAATAAGCAATAATACGTTGAAACAGATTGTAAGGACTTCGAGGTGTTCTTCCATACGACTTAATCTCAAAAGTAAAATGAACTTAAATCCATGTTTTGGATAAGTACTAAATGTTACTCGCGAGTTGTGAACGAGAAAAAGTATTGGAAACCATTCGAGCGCAAAATCATTCACACACATTTTCGTTTTATTTTTTAATTTTTTTTATTAGTTTTTAGTAAGCTTCCTTATACATAGAAATATACATTTTGTCAATAAATGTACACTCATTTTCCAAATTCTTTGTAAAGACGTTAATAGCCTGTAACGCTAAATGTCTTGAAATATATGAACTAACTTACTATATATTAAATATGAATATACAAACAACCGAGTAGTTCGTAACTTATTTCCGTGATTTTTTTTTTTTTTTTTTTTTTTTTTTTTTTTTTTTTTTAATGTGAGTCAGTATTTTTTGCTATCAAATTCAGTCTATCTTTACTCGTACTTACTAATGACGATCACTTTCGACTTCGCTCATTTAGATGCTATCGATCGGTGCAGCCTCGTGTTGTGACCTGGCCCGGCTTAGTGGTGTAAAAATACCCTGCGTCTCGTAAATACTTTTACTCAGCATACATTGCAGTGGCGCGGCGTGAATGATCGATCATCGATATTTCCTCATTTGTAGCTATGGTAAAGAATCGATTATTAAGGTATTCGCTGCGGACACCCTGTTTATCGATCCTTTTCTATAGGATTAAATGGCCGATCAATCGATATATCGCAAATCACGCCACGCCACTGATTCATTGGAGTACGTTTGATTGCTTCCGTATACGTTATCTTTAATTTTACCCATGTTTAAATATTTAAGCCCTGAGAAAATTAAATACATGTCATGAGGGTGTAAATGAACATAAGCGGATGCTTTTAATTTTTTCTGCTTCTTTCAATAAAATTGTCATCTTTCAATCTTTTCATGTGCAGGGCAGCCTTGAAAGTAAGTTTACCTATTTTAGATAATTGCCTAAACTATGATAAGCTGAGAATATTGGTAGAAATCATTGTAAATATACCACTTTTAGCTTCCTTACCCGCTGTTAGATTTCAAAATTTTGTCCAGAGCAACTTGGAGAAAGTGAACCTGAAAAACCAACCAAAAATATATCATTGAAATTTTCAGTGAATATTTTTGAGGGGCGGAAAAACTTCACGGAAAGTCTCAAGAAGAATTCTTTTTTTTTCCTTCAAAGGAAAATATTACCGGAGACTAAGAAAAATTGATATCGCAATCAGAGGTACGCGTCCTTTGACGCCATTCACCGATATGCTGTATTTACAACACGATCAAATCATATGTATAGAAGGGACGTCGAACCGCCTTATGCAATGAACAAGCACTAGACGCATCCTAAAAAATAAAAAATAAAAATAAAAAATAAAAAAAATCAGCGAAAAGATCAATAGCTCTATCATAGAGAAAAAAGTCTCCGACGTATTTAAGCGAAAACCATTCCGGTCAAAAACACTAATTCTAATTTTTCGACCCAACTGGAAGAAAATAGCTACCCTAAAAATATTATCTTCGTTTACAAGGATCACTTTCCCCCTGAATAATCGTAATGATCTTTAAGGGTCGTGATAGTCTTGCCGTAACGATGTGCGTCTAAGAGGCTCCGAAACTTTGACCTCTCAGATGATTGAACCGCCAATCATTCGCGATTGCCCTTTTCATCCGCGACCTTTCGCGGAATGACTTTCGATCTTTGGGACTTCGTCACACATTGGCAGATGAATCAAATATAGATGTTTAAACACAAGCGAAATGCGCGCTCTATTGGAGGGTGGTATGCGTTTTTTTGTAACGTTGTACTAGCGATTTTAAACGTAACTTAGGAGCCGGAAGGTGATTCATGAGGCGATCGAACGGAATCTGTTCAGAACTCACCTCTTTCCGTAATG